TTATAAATATTTTATTTATTTTCTTCTATTATAAAACTAATAATTTATCAATAACTCAAACTTACATGCAAAAATAATACCAATAATGCCAGCCACAATTCCAATAATCATAAAAAAGCATAAACATAATTCAAACTAAATCAATTAAAGAATATCATGCATACAAATAATTACTTTTGTGCTTCTTTTTACTTACGGTTCTCAGTAATACTAAACGTAATGTGAAAAAAGCAATAAGACCAAGAATACTCATTAAAATACCTAATGATCCAATAATAACAAGAAGAATACCAAAGCCTAATTCACGACGATGGATTTCATTTGAAAAACTATGTACACTTTCAAGATGTGACATAATAAGATGCCATGTACCAAGTACAATAAATGCTACTGATTCGATCGAAAGAAGAAAAATGAATAAAAGTAATACTAAGATAATACAAAAATGTAATGGTCGTTCACGAATATTTGTTCTTGTTCTACATTGATATTCATGAGATTCATTTTGACTATCCATTCGTTTTTATTGAATAAGGTTGTTGTTCAATATCGTCACAAGTATTGATTATGTATATGAAATAAAATAAATTGAACTAACGATAGAAGAGTTATGCAAATGAAAAAAAAAATGGTAGAGAGAAAGAGAGAGAAAGATGAGTGACAGAATTGGTAAAAAATGAAAATTATTGCTAATGCTGGTAATGTTCCTGCTCAAGTAACTAATGATGTCGTGAGAAAAGAGAAAATGTGTATACAATAGAACTATTCTCTTTCTGTCTCGCTCTGTCTTTGCTGTACCGGACTAGGTGAAAAAATCGATTCGCTGAGCCGTTATTTTATTGATTAAAAGTGTGGAAAAAAGCGTGACAAGATATAATAATGTTGGAATGTGAGATATCACACATTTTTTTATTTCTATTAATATTTTATATGTCTCTAGTTACATGAGCAATCATGAATGTAGAGAATTATGGAACATAGTTCGATAATTCTTCTACCGAATAATGTGCATCATTCTCTGTTTTCGAATTTCGAGTTATATGCGATAAAATAATTAGGGATATTTATATGAGAAGGACATTTGAAGTCGGATTTAGAAAGAAATTAGAAATGTGTTGTTCTCGTCATGCAAAATTTACTTGATGAGCTTGAGATATTCTGTGACGAAGATTTTGAAGTTTTACGTGAATATGTATACTATAATAGGAAGGAAATCGATCGAGAGTTGTGAATAGTTTTTCTATTGATTGTAAGACGAATTGAATACTTACAAAATCATAACTACTCGTAAATTGCATCTAATCAATATGCTGTTACGAATCAGTTGATGATGAAAACTTTTTTCATTGAAATTCTTGATATTTGGTAGAACTTTAGTTGATTCGATTTTTTCGGTTTGCCTATATCCACACTATTGTGAAATAACATTATCTGTTTAATTTATTCATCGATCTCAAACAATAATACTTGTCAAATATAAAAGTAGTGAATTTTTTCTAGATTGTTGTTTATGTTTTGATTTTTCTCTCATCAAATCAAGTCTTAGTTGCTGAAAGCTAGATATGCAGCTGGAAATTCAAGGCGAATACTGAAAAACTTTATTATTTTTATTAACGACTATTTGTGTGTAAAGTAAATTTGAAAAGACAACATAAAGATGTCAATATTGTTCTGTGTTTTGTGCGCGAACACATCGTCTAAATGAGAAAACAGAAGAAAAAAATTACAATATTTTATTAATGACGAACATTGTCTCACAACAACTTGAAACAAATTAGAAACTTCATTATTAACTGTGTTCATGAAATAAATTTCTCATATTTAATAAAATGATAAAAAGAAATTCATTAATTTCAACAAGAAATCCATTGATCATATACAAGCTAGCATTGAAAATATTATAGTTGTTCTTTCGTTCGGTGCATTGCAAGTTTGATCGTTTATTCCACTCAAATTTACATGATTTAAATATAGTTAAACTATATTATCTGGATTTATACAAGAATAAACTCTATCACTTATACTCAATTCATGTTCATCTGTACTATGATCAACTATCCACAAATGACCATTTGATATAAGTCGTCCGCACGCAGTTAATGTTCTGAACATTACAGCAATGTTTACTGTTATAAGTTAAATCAGTTATTGTCTCTTTATTCGAATCGGAGTTTTAATAATGTATGAGCTAACGGCAGTAACTAAGTATGTTGTGATTGATTCACACTTTTCAGAAATCCAGATAAATTAGTTATAAAATGTGTTCTAGACAAGTTTATCTTTTGAGAAATTGACATTCAAATGCTTTCGGTCTGCCACTTACTGCCATTAGTTTTTGTATAAAACTTCGCATTTTGCAGAATATGAGAAGCAAGACAATATTTATATTTTTGCAGATTGTAGTTATAGGCTTGATCACGACAACAATAAAAGCTATGATTGTATCAATATGGTGAAACCCTCTCATAAAAAAATGAACACAAGTAGTCGCTAACATCTAACAAAATGTCGATGAAATAAATTAGATAAACAGCTGGCAAAATACTGTAAATCAATGGCTTTTATTATTCTATAAATTTCAATGATAAGAATATATGGAACATTTTCAGTTCAACCATATGTCTATTTTTTATTATATCATGTAGAATATACATACTAAGAACAAGAAGCATTGATTTGTATTTCACTTTGATCATCAATAATTATTGTATTAGAAAAATTCCAAGTTTTATTATAAACAACAGAGAATTCTACTTATTTTCGAATCATATGCTTTTGATGATCTCGATCGATATATCTTTTTATCGTGAGAAAGTATTCCATGATCATGCATACACAGTCACTATTGCTTCTTGTCGAACATGAGTTCAAATGTTTGTATGTCTCATTGAAATGTTTAACTTTATCGGTATCATGAGAAAATTATAGAAAAGTTCTTTTGTTGTAAAGTTTTATAAATGAACTGTCTCCATCATCGATGATATTGAACGTTTGTCTGGCGAACTATTTTGTTATTCTAGCAAAAATGTGTTGAATACTGGCTTCTTTTGACTTGATTCTAAGTGATAGATGATAGTTTGGATATATTTTGGATATGAGGAATAGCAGCAGTTGTTGAAACTTATTCATATTAGAAAAGATTTACTTTAAAATAAAAAATACAGTGAAAATGATTTTTTTTTATAATGGTTGATTCACTTTTTGTTTGTTTATAGGATAAAAAGTACGTATTAGTCGACTAGTGACATGAATAATGCTATGGAATTATGTTATTGACGTTAACAAATGGTGAGACTAATTAAACAAACTTGAAAAATAAAATTAAAATTACAAAGATTGACTTATGTTTCTAGTAATTATTGATGATGACTGTAGAGTATGATAATGTGTAGTTAAATTAATACTGACTAACCTTGAATAATACGATTAGAAGTCGAATAATGTACCAAAAGATGGTTACATTCTTCAAAGTTTCGAAATATTGGATCTATTGTGTTCGTCATCAATATTTTGATGTAAAAGGAATAAATTTTTGATCCTTTTTTCTGGTAAATCAAGTATGAACATCTTATTTCTTTCACACAACAATAAATCATCAACAATTATTGGAAAAGTATCGTTATGAGTAGAAAACATGGCTTCTATTGCAAGAATAGCTGGTGTATTCAAACTGTATATATAGAAAGAGCAAAATGTTGAGTGCAAAAAAAATATATAAAAGAATTTGATCGGAAATGTTTTCCCGAAGACTTCGGCAATCTTAGGAAAAAGGTATCTGCAAAGTTTTTCACAGCAGATGTCGTATTTAGAAAAACCTTCACTCAAGAAGAGGTTATTTTTTAATTCGTCTATTCCGTACTTGGTAACACGGCGGCAGAACAATACTACTATACCGCAAAAAAGAAACATTCTATTTGTTTGAGAACGACCGATATCAACGCTTTTACAACACGTTCTCGTATTAACAATTTTTTAAAACTGGGGATGACAGTCGAAAAATTAAATTCCAGCCCGAAAAAGAAATTGTCAAAAGTTGTATATTTCATATCAAAAGCAAGAGCTTATTGAGCCTTCTACTAAACGATATTATTTGGAATAGGACACAACTTCTCTGTGAAATATTCAAACAAAACTTTGCAATCACTTCGTCAACGCTCAATGGAATTTCGAATTAAACTATCTGTTGAATCAATTACTTGTACGCAAGAAGAATTATTTTAATATCGCATAAAAGCCATCATTGTAATGGACAGCTGTATATATATGTATGACGTTGAACAAAATTGAAATTAGATAATAATAGATGTCAAACTAATATCTATTTGAATGAAATCTCTACGATATTGCATTGTAGCACTATATAAGAAACAAAATTAAGGTAGCACTTTTACTTTACCCGTTATGTATTATTCAGCTGATATGATTGATGAAAAAGTTCTTGTAAGATGTAAGAGAAACTTTCAAATTAGAACTATTCTTCTGTCTTTGACTACGACATCTCAACACGGATTGCCAGTAGAATAGTTGATGGAAACTTTCATAAGCGTAGAATTCAACAATATCATTTATTATGTTTTATACTATTGAAAATTATTCATTTTGTAGCAGAGTAGCAAAAAAAATTAACATTAGTTAGAGGAAAAGCGCAATTGCAATATAAAAATATTTAATAAAAATAGGCATCATGGTAAAAATATGTCAACATTTAGTACATGTAGAATGAAATGTAAAAATGACAGTTTTTCCAAATGTTAATGTAAAATACTAACAAATAGATTCAACACAAAGGGTAATATCATAAGAAAGAAATCATATACAAAAAAAAGTCTAAAAACTATATATTTTGTAATTATGTTTTTTTTCTTTTTTTTTTATAAAAATAGAATCAGAATCATTGGTTGAAACAATACGAAGATCACAAAAAGTTTAGATATAGATGATACAGATCTGATTGTAACCGTAATAAGTAGAAACAAACGAGAAGTACAAGTCTCTTCTGTCTAGCGAAATAAATCGTATAAACTGAAAATAATAAAGAATATGGTTATAGATGAATATTGCTTCGACGCAGCATTATGATAAAGAAGACTTGTATCAGGATTATAGACTAAAATAAAAGAAAGTAAATGAGAGAATATAATAGAGTAAGAAATAAACTTACGTATCAATAGACGTCCATCATTATCTAAAAGTAAAGACAATAATTGAATATGAAGTAATATCAAAACTATAACTTACCAAATCGAAATTCTTTTTCTGGTGATGAATATTTTCCTTCGCCACCGAGAGACCAAGCTTGTACACGTAATTTATAATTTCGATTTTTAAATAGGTTATCAATTATCATTGTATACTGTGAACCATCAACATAATAAATTGTTGCATTACGAATTGATTGATAATGTTCCCAAACTTTAATCTAAACAAATTCAACTCTCTAATCAATTGAAGAATTGGAATAGATCAGCTCTCAGTTCAGATCATATCACAAGACGTATTCAAACATATCCTCTGATAGAAACTAACCTGTTCCAACAGTTTAGTTCTTGGGATTGAGATGTCCAAAAAACTTTGTTCTGTTTTAAGAAAGGTATTTCAGTAATAGAACAAAGCTTTATTTAAACCTGGATATGCCATTCCCAAAAACAGAACAGAAGATACTTATACTCGAAAGCAGCAATGGAGCTGGTACCGGTGCCAGTTGTGAAAAATCTAAATTGGTTTCATCTCTACCCGAAAGTACTATTCTGCAAAAATATACCAAAGGTTTTCTATGCCCGGAAGTGTTATTCTTTTAAAACAGAGCAAGCATTGTTTGGACAGATTAGGTCAGAAGCTGCATTGATGAAACAGATCAGAGAACGTTTTTAATAGCATCTTAGATCGAAACCAGAGCTCAATTTGTCGATCTCTATTAAAAATAAATTCTTTGTACCATATATCCTTCTATAGGTTCTTCATCTGATGATGTTGATATTCCACGCCATTCAACTTCTAATCTATACACATAATCATCACCAAATAATCGAACAAGTTTATCTTTTTCACGTTCTGGTTGTCGAATAGATACATATTGTGGTGGTATCTGTGGTGATAAACGAAATGTTCGATGTGAAAAATAATCACTTTCAGGACTATCACCAAATTGTGTATAAACAGAAACACGAATACCATATTCAATATTTGATTGAAGACCAATAATAGTAGCACGAGAACGTTGACCTGGAAAGCGACGTTCCCAATAATTTTGAAGTTCATCAACATCTTTGCGCCAATATCGAACAGTATAACCTAAATAAAATATTTTATGATAAATCAAAATCTTCAATAATTTATTTAAATACCAAGTAAACGACCACGTAAAATAACAAAATCATTTTCATCAATCATATCCCATGTTACAGTCATTGCTGTGCTATTGTATGGATAACATTTAACATTAAAAACTTGACGTGTTGGACGATCTTCAGCTGAACGTATCGTAACATTACTTGATATAGGTCCTTCTCCAAGAGCATTAACAGCAGAAATACGAACAATATATGGAAAATAATAAAGTTTATCAGAACTATTTCAATGAAAATAGACTTTTAATTTGCTTTTTAAAGATTAGTTTTACTTACAGATGAACTATAAAAAAATTTCGCAGTGGATCATTTACGGTAAATATTTGTTGTTGCTTTTCTCCTTGTTTTTGTATATAAATTCGATAAGTTAAATTAGGTCCATTCCAAAAATCCATTGGTAATGAATCCCAAACAACCCGTAAATCACCCACTTTACCACCACCTCCACCTAAACTAGCAGGTGCTAAACCTGGAATATCTGCTCGTGTTACACATGGTGGTGACACTTCTGATCTTTCACCTGATCCATGTATATTTGTTGCAAATATACGAAAACTATAATCTGTAAATGCTGATAAACCTAATAATGTTATGGTAATAAATCTATTTTCAGGTAATGGCATAGTATAATTTCCATGAAATATCCACCATGAACGATGATTAGATAAAGATTCAATTGTATAATATAATATTGGTGCACCATGATCAGTACCAACTACCCATGATAATGTAACTTGACGTTGACGTGGATCTACACAACGTACACCAGCCATTGGACCAGGAGGTCCGAATACATTTAAATGATAAGATGAAGTTTGTGCATCAACTGTTGTTTGTGCTACACATGTATATCGTCCAGCATTACTATATTGAACTTGTACGATACGTAAATCACCTGGACGATCAAGATTATTTTGTTGAAAATGTTTATTATCAATAGTTAAAATTTCATTATTAAAACGCCAATAAAATGTTAAATCCATTTGATTTATTGAACGAGCATCACATGGAATAACAATTATTTCACCTACGATCACATCAGCTCCACTCGGTGTTGATATCATTGTTGTACCTTCAGGCATTACATAGACAAATGTACTTTGTTGTGCATTACCATATGGATTGGTTGCCATACATGTATAATTACCTTGAATATTTTAAGAAGAAAGATCTTGTATAATTGTTCTTAAAACTAATGAGGGCACCTCTTCAATTTGATGGAAGTCTTAATGCATCACGACGAAACTTCGTGGAAAACTAGAGCTTCTTCGTAGCACTCTCTTTGAAATTTTTTTTTCTTACAACATATATCTACTTATTTCAGGTGCACTATCTCTGGTAAAAATTTCAGTCTGATATTCTTAACGAGAATAGTTTCTTGTGACAATTTCAGGTCTTTTGATTTACTTCTATCCTGTAATAAGAACACCGAATCTACCGGTTAATATGAGCGATGTAAAAGGCACACTATTACAATAGTTGTACCTTAGAATGAGAATAGAGACAAGATTTTAAATATTAACAAAAAAAAACTATTCTCGTTAAGGCCTGTCTTTATGCAAAGTTTCAAGTCGAAATTCAAACATCAGGTTTTTCGTTACTATGGAATCCATTTAAAAACTATCATAAAAGTGTAATATCTCCGCAGCAATAAGCTCTAAGGACATGTTCTCTTTTCAGGGTATTCATAGCTCATGTGGGTCCACCTACTTCACATAGTCCTGACTCAAGAGCGATTTATCAGTTGTGAGACTTCTCCCGTGAGAAAGAACACGTAGTTGTCTATTTTTGTAAAACGTAGCTTTAGTAATTTTATTCTTACCAGCATCGACTAGTTGTATACTTATAATAGCTAAATTTCCATTTGGAAATATATTTATATTATTTCCAATATTTAATGGAAGATTATTTTTAAACCATTGTATTTGTGGCTGAGGTGCACCTTCTGGATGACAAACGATAATAACTAAACTACCAACAGTTGATCTTAATGTTGATAACATTGTGTTTCTACCAAATGTTGGTGGTAGTGTAATAATACGTACTTCAGCTGAACTAAAACGTTGTACATTACTTTGAATATTTGTTGCTGCACATTGATATATTCCATTATCATATGATTGGACATTAGCTATCATTAATTGATTATTTGTTATTGTTAAACGTTGTTGTTGTTCTAATGTTAAATGATCGAAAATTATTTCAGTTGAATTTATAAACCATGAATAACTTAATTGATCAAATTCATTTGAATATGCTTCACAATATAATTGTAAAACAGATCCAACGTCAAGTATTTGATCTTCAAGTGGTATAACGAAAATAGGATCAATTTGTATTTGTAATAACACACTTTGATAAACAACTAAACGTGTATTTGATGCTTCACAACGATACAAACCCATATCGTCACGTTGTAAATTAGGTATAATTAATTCACGATTAAAATTATTTAAAATAGCTTTAGATTGTAATGAATATAAATTACTGGACGCATCTTCTCGATACCAACGATACATTGGTATAGGATAACCTTCAGCAATACATTCGATTGAAGCGTTTTCACCCAATTTTGGTAAACGTGTCATTGGAAAAATATGTGGAAAATTTGGAAATATACGTGGACTACGTTCTTGTCCAAATGTTGAACGTACAATCAATTCTGTACCTTCACTTGTTTGAGATGGTAAATAATGAAGACGTGAATTTTTAGCTTGAACAGCACAATAATATTTTCCTGCATCACCATCAGTTACACGAGAAAAATATAAATTTCCATTTCGAGAAATAAAACGTTCAGCTGTTTGTTGTACTTTTTGATTAATTCCACCTTTAAACCAGGCATAATTTAGCTAAAATAAATTAAATAGAATTTGTTTTCTTCTTAAGAAATTCTTATGATATAGTTACATCTCCTGTATTTGTATTTTTATATAAACAATCAATAATTGCATCACGATGACCATGAGCAATGACTTGTGGTCGTTCACGCTTTTCAAATCGATCCAGTACTTCAAAACAATTCATTATTGATCTTTTTATAAATAAACAATATCAAACTAGTTATTGGTACGTACGAATCTCGCGCAAATAAACCTTATTACTAATAGCTGTACCAAAGAAATTATTTGCTTTACAAAAATATGTTCCACTATCTTTATTTGTTGGGTTAGTAATCTAAATAAAATAAACAGAAATACTTTCTCTTTTAACGAACAAAATATCATTTACTATTAGTTTGCCCCCATGTTGAAAATAACGTGGATCAGTTAAATTTACCAATACTGCTTCGGCTACGTTACCACTTATCATTTGAAACCAACTGAAAAAGAAGATATAATCATAGTGTTTTGGTAATTCTATTTTTTACATACTAATAATCAGGAATTGGATATGCATCTGCTTGACATTTTAATGTGACAACAATTTGTAAAGATAGTTTACTAATACCAAATGTACTTTCACTGCCAAGTGTTATTTGATCAATTCGTCCAAATTCGTGATCTTGTGGTTGTTGATAAAATTTTGGTGCACGAGGAACAAAACGTTGTTCAATATTTGATGGAAGACCATATTCTAAATGACTTAAGAGATATCATAAAATATTTAAATTTGATTAAATTATACCAATGCCTCGATAGTCATCAAAAATACCATAGCTTTCCTGTATAGGTACTTCACAAATATATGGTAATGTTTCCGTAGATGAAATATCCGCTGGTAACCAACCCCATTGACCATCTATAGCAGTATAAAGAATGGATATTTATAGAGAAATATATCAAACGATTGTCTTACTTTGATAAGCATAAACAAGAAAAAATTTTGTTTGTTGTTCTTGTTCAGTAAGTGGTAACCATCCTTGATCAAATTGTAAATTTAATAAACCAGTTATTTTTGTCCACTGCCAAAAGATTCCATTACGTCGACCACTTGTAAGCCAACGTCGTGCTGATGGATCATTTGCAGCCAACCATTCTTGTATAAATAAATGTTCAGGAAATGATTCCACACTCAAAAGATCTGTCTACATCAATAGTATATACATATATATATGCATGTGTTTATATAAAAGAAAGAATAATATTTTATCTATCAACCGACCGGGCAACGAGCGGTAGCACCACTATACGTTTCTTTTGGATAACGATAAAAACGATAACATGAAGCCGTCCCACTGAATTCTTGCCAGCCATGTGGACATTCTTTTTATGTGAAAAATAAATCAAAGCGATTATAAGAAATTATAACATGCAATAAGAGCTTAGCGATTTCATATATAAGCATTTTTATGACTTACTCAGTATTTGTGCTAAGATGAGAGGAAGAACCGAAACGATCAATAAGGCGATTTGATGGAGGGTCATTTAGGAGATTGTTAAGTTAAATCATATTTAAAAATATGACTATTCTTTAAGAGCTACACTTTTTCAATCTTTAATTGATTTTCCAAGTTTGAATATCCTATTTGAAAGAATAATTTGGATGTAATTTTAGAAGTATAGGTTGGATGGTTTGTATATTTATATAGATAAGCAATGCTCAATAGAGGGCGTCATATAAATTGATCGTCGGTTATCATGAGTACCCAGTACGAGCATTACGACAGTCGTAAACGATTGCATATAACGATTTATACACTATAAATTACGACCATATATGATCATATCTTCTTGTGCCGTACAAGATGAAATATGACGTATCTACGATCAACGTGAATGAACATACAAGGCTCTATACAATGTAGTATGCAATCGTATTTATATATGCTTTTTCTCACTTAAAAGGAAAACTTCACCTTTTGAATACGCGAAACAATATCTCTTGCTTGGAAAAAATACTGTCTGTTTAATATGTTGCTCGATTTATCTAAATAAAAACAATGAAAATGATTACTTTAGAAGAAATACTTATCATTGTATTTGCTACTGACTTCAAAACGCAAAGGTATGAATGCAACTGAATTTACGACTATATACAATCGTGTACTATAGTCTTGCACGATAATCTCGTGAAGTTTCGACTTGGCCATAAAGGCTGTTAATAAGTTTTGATTTCTTTCATGTAATATTCTTTTATTATATGTATTTTTCAGTAAGATTGGTTGGTATTTACGACATAGAGACATATACATATATATATACTAAACACCGATATCTACTGTACGATAGAATTTTAGTTTTCTACCTCTTATAATCACAGAGATACCAGTAGCATAAGAATTCAAAGGAATTTTTGAAATTATTTGTGAGAATATTTTCGCCGTTTTGTTAGGCATGTTAAATAATAACCAATGGATAGAACAAGATTTACAAATAGAAATAGTTTAAACATAATAAGAAGTAAACGTATGTCAATGTTTATCTATCTACTTTTCATCTTGATCTGTCACTTGTTCCAATCTACTCGGGGATTTTTCTATGATTTTCTGGCATTTTACTGTGTTCAGTATTTTCCATTTTTGTATTATTTGATATTCTAATTCTGATTCATTCTCAAATCTTTCTCCTCTAAAGTTTTTCTTTTACTGCACCCCAAACTGTTTTATTTAACCAAATATCGGCAAATTTTCCATTACCAACTTCAAGGTCAATGTGCTCGCTAAATAACGATTCAGCAGTGTTCATCACAATAGTTGTTCGATGCTTGCTATCCTGATCATCTTTAAAAATCGGTACTAAGTTCGCATTTTTAAAACACGACAAATGACACAACTCAGGAGTGATCTGAAGAAAACCAAAAGTCACGCTTTATGAACGATTCGTCGCATATGTACAATTTTTTTCATTCACACTGTTTGTAAAAATAATTGAAAAACATTCTTAAGCATTTCATGTTAATTGTATCTCTCTGGTTACAAGAGATAGAAAGTTTAAACTCTAGAGTAAAATAGATTTAGATGTCTAGTGTATATGCTGCTCATATGAGCCTGCTTTACTGAGAAGAAAACATTAGAAAAGAATATTACTTGAAAGAAAACAAAATTTCTTACACAGTTTTTATATGCTACCATGAATCGTAAAGGAGAATTCCGATACTTTTGATATTCGGTTATATTGCAAAGCTCGTCGAGTTACATGTTCGACGCTCTCTTTCGAATGAAACGTTGCCTGATTTGAGCGAATAACAGATTTACGGAGATATAGTCTAAACAATCGAACTGATTATTTTTTTTTTGGTTTCTCTGGTCTACTTTCTTTTTTAACACCGATAACTCCATCAAATGAAATAGTAGTGCCCTAAAAATGATTTCACAATCCCAGTTTGATGACAGAAATTGATTAATGTAAAAACCTATATGTTAATTTCGATCATAAAATTGGCTTTTTCGATGAGCTGAGAAAGTCTCTCTTAAGGAATGACTTCGAGATGAATTTAAACTTTTATCAAATTATTGTTCATAGGATTCTCTTGAATTAAATAATCACTTAAGATGATGAGCACAATGCAACTATAGAAAGAGTATCGAACAAGAGTAACACAAAAAATTACACCGAGGAAAAGAATGCGCCTAAGTCCTTATATATTTGGGGACGTGATCATTGTCAATAGAGAACGCCAATGATGTTATTTGAAATTGAAATTTAAGAATTAACGAATAAAATGACAAAGATAAAAATTGTAAAACTTACTTCCAACTTATCAAAAGTTGTTCATGTTCGTGTTTATCGATAGCTTTTTGGAATATCGTATGTGTACATCGTAATTTAAGGTAAATCGCATTGACTAAAAATCTTTGATCCGTTGATAATAATTTCAACTCGCCCACGCTGTGTTTTGTATTGATGGAATTATTATCTGTTAGTCACCTTTCTATATTGGCTATAACATCTTCACAGTATGTTTTATAAAAGAAAAAAAACTATCTATTTTTGATATGAAGTAGAACAATCTCAATAGCTTTCTGACATCATTTGTAAAAAATGAACAGCATCGATTTAATGGTCCCAGATTTTCGAACATGCATAAATATGGAACAAAACGTTCTTTTACAATCCTATTTTTCTCTTATGTACGGCAAAAACTGAACAGTTGCTCACTAAGATAGATTCTGACAAACTCAGAATGAAACTGATTGCTGAGAAGAAACATTTTATGTATGACTAATCCATCTTGATTTCGAGTGCACCACACAAAAGTGAGAGATTCCTGCTGACTTCAAATCATACGAAACAGAGACTGATGGGACAATGAGAAACTGTCCCATCAAGGCCCGCCGAAAGTTATCCACAGACTGTCTCCAGTTCCGTCCCGTCTGGCCAGAAATTTTCAATCTCGTTCCGCATCCCGTCAAGATTTTTTCAGTCCCGTCCCAACTAATCCCGCTAGCATCTTTTCACTAAAAGGTCGATGCCATCCATATATGTTGATTTATTGCACAACAGAAAAGTATTGTCGAGAAAAAAATGTCTACATGAGGAAATGAAGTACAATAAATGTACACATACATATTCACAAGAAGCTGGGATATAAGAATAGAAACCACAATATTCAAGAATAATTACAAATTTAGATTGATTGCAACGGTGTACAAATACGAATTGAAAAGAATAATTGTCAAGATTAACAAATGTGGCGAAATGAGACAGAATGAACAATTATACGCATACATAATTATATATGCATTGCATTTTCTGCCAGACGAATTATATTATGGTCGTTGTCTCATCCGTCAGTCATCGCTCATCTCATTCCGATCCAATTGACCGTCACTATTGTTATTTTTCTGACTCAATGCCTGTTTACATAAGAGTCGCCCGCTATGACGACCATTCTTCTACTCTTGCGGCATAAAATCAATCACTATTGTAATGCACTACATGGACGGTTATCTTTTCTTTTTTGTTTCATTGACCGGAGTAAGCGGGATAAGCATTGAATCACACCTATCCGCATCCCGTCCCGTCCTGCCCTACTTTTTTTCTCTCGTCTCGTCCCGGGGCGAGACAGGACGGGATTAGCCCGTGTTTCGTCACTCTCTGATACGAAAGAATAGTAAAGATATGTCTTTTGCAGTGTATCACAATTTCTTCAAAGCAGTCAGTTGTTTTAGGCTCTTGCTTCACTCATGTTTTCTTTTGTACGACCGATTCGCCTGGAAAATTTTCTTTGCATAACAAAATAAATGTAAACTCATCCATGAGTATTAGAAATTTCTTTCTTTTTGAAGAACAACATTGCAAATCCTACCAATATGCCATTTTTCTTTGATACATGTTGCTTATCAACCAGTAGCTATATGATTGAGTAACGAAATTTAGAATAAGACAAAATATTGGCAAGGTTTTGATGAGTGCAAAAGATTAGTGACAGAATACATTCGTCGTAAGAAAAAGCTCGCATCGAATTATCCTAAAACAACTATGTCGCCCACTACTGTCTCTCTCTCTCTCTCTCTCTCTCTCTCTTTCTAATGAAATCAAAAGCCTATTTTCCATCATTGATAATTCGTTTGTTTCTGTTTGACATCACTGAAGTGGTGCACTTTATCTAATTGGAAAAGATGCCAACACTATATATTAATTCTAACCTTTGAGCTTCTCCAAAGAAAAAGAAATTGAAATACAGATTCTTCTAGCACTCATAATATTGCAATAGCAATTCTTGTGCGAGAAACTATAATAAACACATAGTTACAGGGATAATTGTCTACAATAAAATCTTCAGTGTTTCTCGAGTGGAATTTCTCAGAATCGTCTTATCTATAGATCTGTAGATTTATTTAAACTATTGAATTGAATATAATTGCTTCAGGTACTTTGATCGACTTGAATAAAAGGCGACGTTGACGTAGTGATCGCTCGACGACATCAGATGATTATAGAAAAATAAAAAATCTCGGCATTGATGGTAGCTTGCATGCGCTTTGCTTCATAAGACTTCATTTATAATCAGAGCTTCGGCGATACCAGAGCTTAGAATCAGGAACTAATGACAACAGAAGTATGTTATTGCAGGATTAAAGTTATACGAGTTCAGCTTTTTCATTGAAAACAATTCTATCGTATTTCTAATAATGGTTTTTGTTATAATCAATTACATGAAAATCAAAGGAATCAATATTCAGTGACTCAAACTAGCATGCCAATATCGATATATTTGTAATGAGGTATATGCAATATAATGAGGCCCACTGGACCTATTAAGTATTCAGTAGGTTTCATCCATGTATGTGACAGATATAGTTCAAATGGTGTCTATCATGTCTATGTTGGAAGCAATAATGATTAGGCACTTTTCTCACTCTACACTTTAGCATTGATTAATAATACTGTTTCAGAAAAATATTTTATTCAATAAATGCAACAACAGTTTTATTAATGTTATTTCAATGAAAACTCCGTTCAATTAGAGATCGTCCTTCTGAATATACGTTCACTGGCTATATACATACCAATGATGGAACTCATCTATGTGTGGATAGGGCCTACGAATCTTGCGCACGGAAAGTTGCGCACGACGAATCTTGCGCACAATAGAAAATTCATATTTTGTTGTGCGACAGTGAATCAAAACACAAAGATATAACAGAAACAACAAAACACATATTTTATTTTCAAAAAATATATAACAATTAGTGTCAGAAAACAAAATAAATTTTGATTTGTTGTTATTGTATTAGAGAACAATATTGTGGGCTAGAGATGTAATTTGATTGATAATATCTTGATGAGGATTTAAAACTAGATTGTGTAAACGTTTATCGAGGTGTTGGTATTTTTTCTTTTTAGCAATTGGTTCATCAACATTAACTCGACAAATCTTCGTATGAATGTGTGAATCATCTTCTAATATTAATTTGTCGATAAACTTCCATAAAGTTGGATGTGAACATTGAAAAACACATTCTGAAATCAGAAAATTGTCTGTTAATACAAAGCAGATTTTTATTTGACATTTACACTTACTGATACGTCTATTCCATGCTTCAGCTGAATTATCCGTTCTCATTTGTAGATTTTTCGTTCGTTCATGAGCGTTCCAAAATTCAGCATTAAATAATGGTCGTGAACGTGAACCATTAGCACGAATTCTTCCGATATAATTATCCTCGAAATAATCTAACATGCTTTGAAATGTATCACCAAGATGAATACTAAGTTGTGTAAATGCATCAGTAACTTCATCTGGATGAATAAAAGCTAATGCCGCAATCTTATGAATGCCACGAGCAAAATCAATACCATCTTCATATTGCTTTTGCAAGCCTTGAGTCTAAAATAAAACGTACGTAATATGATCCAAATTATGTATTTTACTATCATATTATTAATCATACCTGCAATTGTCGATGTATACTTTGCCGTAAATGGAAATAACAACCGGATAAAGATGCTTGTGGAAAACTAGTTGAAAAAACATTCATAACTGCCTTTTCGAAGTCTATCATTAAACTTTGAGGATTCCATGCTGGTACAAATTCTAAAATTTTATTAATCACTTCTTGATATGTGTTGGTGTTTTTTCGTTGAAGTAAACAAAATGCTACTGAAATAACATGTTCACGATGAACAGCATGAATTACATATAATTGGTAGAATATATTTGGAACGATCTGGAATAAAACAAAAACTTTTGATTAAAGTACAAAAGCTCATTAAAAAAAATAGTATACCTCGAATGTTCCATCAGTCAAAAAATCACTTGAAGATTCCAGAATTGTAGCTTGTTCAGGATTACAAAAGATAAGTTGCCGATCAGGACCTAAACAAAAATATTAAAGTAAGTTATTCATCGAACTCTCTAGAAAATATCTCTCATAATGTCATCAATGGAAGTGTATATTCTTACCTGGCCCTGTATCAATGCGTAAGAAAATGTCATTTCGTTTTGTTGTTTGTAAAACCGCAGAAATATTAGCAAAATTAACATCATTTGGTACTTGTGGTAAATCATTTTTTTTTTCGTTGTTTTTGAATAGTTCGTTTAACATGATCTAATGGTGGTAATCGTATACGTGCTACATCAGATAATTGGGATATACATTGTGATAAAACCGTGTCTGTTGATTCTTGAGTATTATGTGTACGATCGACAAGATTTTCACGAAATTTTCGAAGTGATATTTTAATTTGATCACGATTACAGCTTGTTGTATGATTACCATTTTGTTTTAATATTTTCACATGTGTTGTAGTAATAGTAGAATTACATGTGTGTATGCGATAATGCCAATTAAAAGTTTTATGATTTTCACAACGCCAATAGGTTTTGTCGTCGGTTCGACGATCTTGTACATAAGAATAACCATCTATTATCATTAACGGACGACCTCTTTTGGTAATGGTAAATTCAACAGGAGTGCACATATTGTTGTATAACTTGGAATTATTTCGATGACAAATGATCATTTTTTACATACGCAACACTTTATTTTTAAAGCGAGCTGATCTTTATGAGATCAAAACATAAAAGAAATTATGTCTAATAATTATGATTTATGATTATACGGATAATATAATTATTCGTCCGTGTATATTTTAGTGTCTTAATAAATACGACAAAGTCGTTTTAAGATGATCAAAAAATTAGTTTTTATCCAATTAATGAGCTTATGGATATAATCATATACTTTCTTAACAGTATTTTAATTAAATTTATTTTGAATATTTTCAATTGAACTTTCAACCGTCTTGAACTTTTATTGTCTTGCAGCTCATAAATATGAATTCTTTTTCTCGTGCGCAAACAGTCAGTGCGCAAATTATTCGTGCGCAAAATTCGTGTGCGCAACTTTCCGTGCGCAAGATTCGGGATCCCCTTTAACTACACTCAGGGCTATTTAATTTAAAGCATATGTCAAACAAAGTTTGTGTTCAAATCTATCTTCATGGACAATAGTCTTTGACGATTCATCCTCAATAAGCCAGCTAGAATCAGGTGACTTATGATTAACCTATATAAAATAAGTCTATACTTCGTCACTAGTACTACTAGAACGCAAGTGACAACATCTAACAAAACTTCGCTAAAATTGTAAAACAAATGAAACATGATTATCTCATGCGGTATCCAAGGTAGCTAAATTTTTTTTCGAAAAGACTTCAAAAATTTTTTTTATAAATTGTTAGAAAGAATTGAACTTGATACAAATAATCATGGCAACTATCCTCAACATTTCATAAAATAAAATTAAAAATATCTCCTTATCTTTATATTTTTATTTAAAGATGCCAGAACTTTTGGTCAGACCTAGTAATATCTATATTTATAGCATGACTAGAAAAGAACATCTTCTACCTGTATCAGAAAAATTCACCGCTATAAAGCCATCTGCATCGTAATATAGGTATTTATTCGATTATCGTTTCAGATATCAAAAATGAAGATTCTAAAAATCTTCAAAACAAGCAATAGAAATGTAACTATTTCTCGCAGAAGATTTAAAATGCGGCTGAGAAATTCTTTTCCACGTTCAAAGAGCAATTATAGCGAACAAAAATAATGATATCAACTAAAACAATGTTAAATAATTATTATGACATTTGTTAAAACCGTAATTATTGTAGTTAACAAATCTAATGAAACCTATCTTATTATTACACTTGATTAAAACGACTAGATGAGACCAACGAAAGAAAAATTAGATGATAATATAGAAAATGGAAACTATTGAAATAAGATTCTACAATCAAATATAAAACATATCAAACAATGTTTTGTGTAGAATGAAAAGAGAATATCCATTTGAAGAAACAAAACTATTAATGTAGTCTCGTAATTAAATTCAATAATGGCGTCCAGACACATAAATAGAAAACGTATTTAATGAATTCATACTGTCTTGTGCAATATCGTAGAAGCCTCTGCTGAGAGATTTTGGAACTACCACCGTTACATCCATATGTAAAATTCACATACTATTAAAGAACGGACTCGAATCTATTAAAATTACAAAAAAAGGAATGATATCTATGTCAACATAATCAATTTTTATACTGAAGTCTCTTAACAAACTTTTCAGTCAGGGTTACATTATGATTCACTGTAATAAATTATATTACATTTTCTAAAACTGAAACCTTTTATTCTTGTTGACCATTTTGCAGAATATCATATTTTGTTAGAAAAGTAATATTTTTTTTTCGTGACAGATAAATACCATGAGAAGTGTGATAGCAGTTCTATGACTACTTCATTCGCAACAATATTGGTTAACTTATACGATTTTTCTCATTTAATAAATAATTACAAGTCAAAACTGCTCGTCTGTGGTCATCATACTGTATATACGTCTGACGTGTCTAAAAATTAATACAGACGAAGTAGTAATTTAGCAAATAGTGAAAAAATTTCATTCGTCAATTATGTTTATCTCTCAAGTCCAAATTAACAAGAGAATGGTATTAGTTGAAGTATTCATTAATAAACACGTAGGAAATTTACGTATAATCAGCTTGATAAAAGAGTAGAACAGATTACGGCCAATAATTTATCAGAGCATCATCTAAAGTACGCCAATAAATTTAAAAAATCGACTATGTCACAGCTTTGAATGCTCACACAATAATTCTCAACACGACGGTAGAGTCACAAGATTTACAGATTATCTATCAAATTTCCTTGCCTAGGTCATAGGTAAACAACAAAATAAAATTTTCCAAGCTGTTAGATAAAATGAGTAAACTAAATAAATATTTAATGGAAATATCAAATATGAATATATCAAAATACCACAGCACGAACAAGAAGTTTATTACATGCAGAACTATGCGCCTAACTTAAAAATGCATATAAAACCACAACAAAGATGTTTCAAGCTTCCAAATGAATTATACTATTTTCCAAAACTACTTTTTATCTCTATAAATATTAGCTTGAAATTATTTCATGCCAATCTTTAATTTAAGTGTACTATATCATATTAATATTTTTTTCTTCTACTGGTGATTTCTGCTAAAAGACCTATACCGATGATCAATGAATGCATTGACGATATTTTCCGTCGGATTCACAATTTTCCAATCTGGTTAATAGAAAAATTTCTGATTCCGATCAACTCGACGGGGTTCTAATTGATAAGCTTTATATGACATGAAAACATATTTTAGTTTAAATGAAAATTTTCAATACATGAAGAAAATATTATTCAACGAAGATTTTTGTTTGAGCATATGTGTCACCGAATTTCAATATCCTAGAAAAATCATACTCACAAGCTTTTGATCCATTGAGAATCTTTTAAATACATAGTTCATATAAAATATGTGTGAATGTCTGACATACTATTCGAAATACACATAATTTATAATATTTCATGTTGTTGTCAACTTGACACATTCATGTGAAAAAACATCATGTCTTCATAGATATAAAATGTTATCTTTACACTCATTTAAAGTTTGAAGTTTCATTTCAAGATGCTTTATAATCTTTTTTATATGCATTCACATATGCTTGAAATCAATTCTTATGACTGACATTAAACTTTCAACTTCAAAACTCAACTGCGTTCAAATTGTACATGAATAACTAATTTCTACAAGAAAATCATTGAGCATATATTGAGATTATTTACAACCTACTGATACATCATAATTTTCGAATAGGTTTTTTTGCCCGATATTTTTTTCAATATTCATCTGTCCCTTAATAGATTGACGACTTTATTTTCTTTCTTTAACTATGTTTCTGTAAATAAATGATTCAAAGTAAAACTTAGAAGTATAATTATTTTGTTTTGTCTATCATGTGCGTTGAAAACTACGTAGTTCATTAGACAATATTGTTTAACAATGTCTGTCTATTGACAATAGAAAATCAACAGAAGATTTTTCTTTGAACCTATGACCTATAATGAACAGTCATGCGTGTAACTATGATCTCAAATGAAACTATTTAGCTGCCTTTTTTTCTCTCATATCAATAATCAAGTATTCATTATCAGAGATTAGTCTTGATTATTGTTCCTCTATTCGATTCTTTCACTTCGATATTGTTCGATCGCATGTTTATAGAGAGAAATAAATTAAAGAACATTTTTTTTATTGACTTTCGCTTATATTATACGTATGTGTATGCCTTTGCGTATACATATACTTCATGCAAATCAAAACTCAAGCTTTACTAATCTTCTACGACTCGTCATTGTCAACAATGAGGACTAAGCTATTTGATCAAGTTGATACTTATGTATAAGTTAGTGACAGACAACGACAGAAGAACATACAAACAGTGTTCTTCCTTGTTCAACGTCTCAGTCAACTTCTATGTATATGTGTATGTATAATACCGAAAAAATTAATTGGTGATACGAATGTGCGCTAATGATTTGTTGGTCATTAGGCGTGGCCTTGTTGATCGAATGGATTATAAAGAACGAAAAAGAAAAGTAACAAAAAAGACAGACGTCATCAACTGTCCGATGCGGAAAGAGTACGACGTTCGTCACTTCTTGCTCTTTTGATAGCCGATGACAAAAGATTGCATCTCATTTTTTTCTGATGTCTAGTATATTGATGCCTCACTTGCTTCATCCTCATTCTCATCCCCATCATCCACCACTACCCCTTCCATCAACTGAACCTATACCACCTATTCCACCTCGTACTTATTCACGTCCATCATCAAGACAACAACAATCACAATCTCAAACAATTCTAGTAACATCTAGTCATCAAAATAATACTAATAATAGTTCATTTCGATTCGATGATTTACCATCACCTGATCGTGAATGGCAATTACTTGAAAATATAGGTGATGGTACATATGGTGAAGTATTTCGTGTAAGTTAATAGAAAATATTTTAATATTAATTGAAGACATTTTATATATTTCATTCAGGCAAGAAATATTCGAAATCCAGATTTTAATGCTGCTGTAAAAATTATGCATCCAACTGATGAAGTTCTCGAAGAAATTGAACAAGAATATCGTGTTCTTCTTGAACTTTCAAATCATGAAAATCTTTGTCGTTTTTATGGTGCTTATTTAAAACGTGCGCCACCTCCTCCACCACCTCCACCTCGAAATCCAACTGCATCACCAAATGCTCCTATTGATAAAACAAGTCTTCTTTCAATTGAAACAAATTCGATTAGTAGTCTTGTTAGTCCAACAGGAACATCCGTACCATTACCACTTGATCAATTGTGGTTAGTCATGGAATTATGTACTAGTGGCAGTGTTACTGATTTAGCTAAAGCAATATTAAAAGCAAATCAACGTCTTGATGAACCAATTATTGCTTATATTATGCGTGAAACATTAAAAGCTTTGTATCATCTACATTCAAATAATGTTATTCATCGTGATGTTAAAGGTCATAATATATTAATAACAGGCGATGGTCATATTAAATTAATTGATTTTGGTGTAAGTGCATATTTAAATCCAAATAATGGACGACGTAATACTTCTGTTGGCACACCATTTTTTATGGCACCAGAAGTAATTGCTTGTGAAAGACAAATGGACTATGATTATGATACACGTGCTGATGTTTGGTCTACCGGTATTACAGCTATTGAAATTGCTGAAGGTAGATTTTTATTTTTATTTTTAATTAAAATAAACCTATTTTATCTGTTGATAAGGTGAACCACCACTTGCTAATATGCATCCAATGCGTGCACTTGTATCTATACCTCGAAATCCTCCACCATGTTTACGTCAACCACAAGAATGGTCAAATGAATTTAATGATTTCATTCGTCAATGTTTAATAAAAGATTTTGAAGCAAGACCTACTGTTACACACATGTTAGCTCATCCATTTATAGCACAAATACCAACTGATGGTATTGATGCTCGTCGTCGAATCATACAAATTATAAATCGTTATAAGCGTTGTTATGATTTATCTGGTAAAAAATCTCGTGAAACATGTGGTGTTAAAAATGGTCATATTAGAGGTAAATCAGAAACATGTTCATCCGTAGCTATGGATCCAACAACACAAGTAGCAGTACCTTATTCACTTACTGTTGAATCAATTGTTCCACCACTAAAACGAATTATAAATGTTATAGGAAAACCATATAATCCACCACATCAAATTATCGAAAATCATAAGCGAGTAGCACCTTTACCGCCCCTTGCAATTGAAAATGGGCATTGCCATTCTAATCATCCTAATGATTCTAATACACGCATACAAGCACAACAAACTCAAGTTTATAAAACTAAACGAAAATCTCAATCAAGACGACAACAAGAACAATTACAATCACAAATGAATCAAGTAAATTAGCCTATTTTGATTTTAAATAAACAAAAAGACAATTTTCTGCGGAACACGATCTAACAGAAGTGTTAAAGATTTCCGAATTCGGACCCAATCCAACGCACTCTATGTAATAGAGGCTAATCAGGGACCGTATATCAATAATGTCTCGTTATACTACTTTCTTGTCGTATTTCTGAAGGATTAAGTAAAAGGATGATGCATAAATGTGTTCCAAAATAGATTGAGTACAGTAATGCCCCTGCGATTAGTATGAGCAGCTATATTATGTTTCATATTTTAATCTCACAGAGATTGCACTAATAGCTTTTTCCTTCTTTGACTTTAGCAAAATGGTATTGACTATTCACAAATACAAGATATTTCTACTGCATCAATTCATGATGACACGTCGATTCATCATCCATCATTAACTAAAAAGTTTAATAATACAAATTTTTATAATTCAACATACGATTCAACTTATCCAAATAATGTATCATGTATAACAAATGATGTACCATTATGTCAACAACTAACTATTCCATTTTCAACCGATGATCTTGCACAATTGGAAACATTTGATGAACAATCAATTATAACCTATATGTATAATCGATTTTTATCAAATCAAATTTATACTTATATTGGTGATATACTTGTTGTAAGTAACTTATTGTTCTTTAAAAAGAAAAACCTAACGTGAGAACGTTTTCAAGTATTGAATTGCTCTTGGCTAGAAAATATATGCGTCGTATAGGTCTTAATGAACTACGAATACCCTAACAGTAGTTCAAGCCCTTAACGTATCAGCATGAAGATCTTCCATTTTTTAACCTTATATTTTCTTTCGATTCTGTTGTCTCTTCAGGAATATCAGGAAAACTTAGTTTCGAACTTAACGAAAATAGTTTATAATGAAAGACTTAGATTATTTAGTTTCTCTTATCCTAAAATACAGCTATGGTAAAAGTACTTTTTTTTTGTACACCCTTCATTGACGCCAGCAGTTTTCGGTAGTCTTATTTCAGAACCTGAGCAATAAAAAATTCTGAAACTTCGACAATAAACTATTATTAAGGCTTGTCTCTATGTGAAATTTCAAGTTGAAATTCGAAACTTAGCTTTCCTGATATTCTTGAAGAGAATCATGGTATCGACTGAAAATTTACGGAATTCACAGCTCATTAAGACTTACATAATGCACATATTTCCGACTCAAGAACAAATTGATACTCGAAAACGTTCTCTTGTAAGAAATTTTCATTGTTTTTTTTCTAGGCTGTTAATCCATTTCGTTCATTACCAATTTATGGTAAAGATGCAATGAATCGTTATCGTTCAAGTGTTAAAAGTGAACAACCTCCACATATATATGCATTAGCTGATTTTACTTATCAAGCAATGTTACATGATTTAGAAAATCAATATATTGTTATATCAGGTGAAAGTGGTTCAGGTAAAACTCAATCAGCTAATTTCCTTGTTAAACAATTAACATTTCTTGGTAATGCACCAAATAAAAGTTTACAAGAAAAAATTCTTCAAATCAATCCATTAATCGAAGGTTTTGGTAATGCACGTACAATAATAAATGATAATTCATCACGTTTTGGTAAATATCTTGAAATGTTATTTACAAAACAAGGACGTGTTACAGGTGCACGTTTATCAGAATATTTATTAGAAAAAACTCGTGTTGTTAATCAAGGACGTGCTGAAAGAAATTTTCATATATTTTATTATCTATTTCATGGTTTAGCATCATCAATACCAAATGATGAAAAATCATTTTATTTATCAACAAATCATATATATCGTTATTTAACAACTGGTTTACAAGATGATAATGATTTATCAGAAAGTTTTAAATCAAAATTTTCAACAATTGAAAAATGTTTTGAAATTATTGGTTTTCAACAAGATGAAGTTAAATCAATATATCGTATATTAGCTGGTCTTTTACATTTAGGTAATATAAGTTTTCATCAAAACGAAGGACATTTCATTGATGGTAAAACGTGTGTTACTGATCAACATTTACTCCAAATTGTTTGTGAATTATTTGGTATTGATATTGCAGAATTTGATTTAGCATTAACAACATGTAATATTGTTACACGTGGAGAAACTATACAACGTTCAACAACATTACAAGAATCACAATCAACAAGAGATGCCATGGCTAAAGCTCGTAAGTTTGAAATCAATTGAAAAACTACCGGGACCTATTTTTTCGAGATTCATCTATAGTAATCTTTTCATAGCATATCATTCATGTGAATTTTACTAAAATAAAAACATAATTCTGAACTCTAAATTCTTACTTTTAATTAGGTACCTACTATCAGCATAGCTCTCTCCGTTTCATACTAAAATGTGTAGTAGGATTTATAGAAAAATATAAAAAAACACCTCTTCGAAGCTGCTCAATAGAGATATGAACGGTAAGCTTTTTTCGTACCCTGAATGAGAAAAATTTTATAATCCTTACCCTTCTGTATTTTTGCTCGAGGAGGAAACAACAGAGGCTTCATTTTACAAATCTGATAAAATCTTCTAAAGTTTCTTGAAAACTTGAAGCCTGTTGTGTTCCGCTCGCTCTTACCCTATCCTGCAACGCCCAAGAGCAGAAAAAACCGAAAACTCCGCACTCCAAGGGTATGTCAAATTGTCCTCTACAATTTCTTAGCTATTTCAAATCTATTATCATCGTGTGTCACGATCATGTTACTTGAAGTTCATTTTAGATAAATCTGTCTGGTAATAAACCTGAAACACTATCATGCTTCATTCATACTCAAATCTTGAAGTACGATCAAGTATTTGAACTTTATTGTGAGAAAGGCTTACATAGAACAAATTCAAAGTGATATGATCGTAGCACACATTCATAATAGACTTGAAATAGCTAACAAGATCTCGAGATAAACTTGGAGTACGTTGACGTACGAAATTTTCGCTTTTTCTCCTTTGACAAAACCTCTACTCTTATACCCTAAGAAGTTTTTATCTTACTCTTCTTTAGTCGTACCCAAGTGAAAGACTGAAAGTGATAAATAGCAAAAACGTATGACACTAGAGATGTGCATGGTAAGCTTTTTTCGTACCCTGTAGCCTGACTACTCTGCAAAGTTAAATGGTAGCGTTGTACATCTCTACTGCTGAATAAATTAACAAAATAAACAAATCGCAATTATATGTAAATCTTATTTACTCTTTTAGTTTATAATCGTTTATTTTCTTGGATTGTTAATCGAATATCAGCACTACTTGCACCAACAAAAGACATTTTAAATCCAATGACTGATGAAGACTCAAGTATACATTCTATTCCAATTTATAATACAAATAATAATAATAATAACAATAATAACAATCAAGATGATGAAAGTGACAATGAAGTTGATGAAAATTTTAATCAAGAAAATAATACAAATCAAGATTCAACAATAATTACATCATATCCATCACAAACATTTATGAATGCAATGAAACATACATTTGATTATTTCGATATGGCATCAGCAGCATCATCATCATCATCATTTTTACTTCAATTACATCCATCAGAAGTTGATGATCGTTGTTTAAATACAAATAATAATAACAATAATAATAATAATACAAATAATACTCCCTCACCACCTAATAATCCAGTTGATAATCATCAAACAACAAATTTAATTAATGATTTAAATAATACTAAACAAATTCCATCATCAAGTAATAAACCAATCAAAAATTTAATTGAAAATTGGTCAAAAATTGTTGCTGCATCATCATCAAATTGGTTACAAGTAGTTGAACATAAAGCAAATAATAATATATTTTCAAATAAAATTCTTCAATCACATTATTCACGTTTTAATTATGCAAATCGTGCAACCAGTGAAACAAATTTAGCATTAAGAAAAAAAACTGTTGAAAATAATGTTAAAAAACAATATCAATCATCAAATAATCTTGCGGTTAGCAAAAAACAATCATCATCACCAGCATTACTACCAAAGTTTCCAACAATTCAACAAAAAACCTTATCAATTAAACAAAATAATTCTGATATTAATTTATCAAAGTGTACAAATAATCAAAATTCAAATGAACAAATTACAAATGATAACGATTGTGATGCACTGAAAATAGCTATTTTAGATATATTTGGTTTTGAAAATTTTTCAACAAATACTTTTGAACAATTATGTATTAACATCGCTAATGAACAAATACAATATTATTTTAATCAACATGTTTTTGCATGTGAACGACAAGAATATATTAATGAAAATTTAAGTGTTTTACCATTACCAGCAAAAATTGATTTTACTTTCTATGATAATCGACCATTACTTGAAATGTTTCTTAATAAACCAGTAAGTTTATTGAAACAGAAAAACATAACGAATCTAGTGAGTGAAAAAACTAGAAATCGTCAAGTTCAGGTCCAAAAATTTTGGATCCGACGAGCTCTAGAACATATCCAATTGTTGGACGTCGCTTGACTTCACATTATGGTTATGAGTAGATCCAGGTAAATGTAAGACAAGTTTCAATGGATTCGAGCCCATGGTCTACTTACAAAGAGTTATGGACGTTTTAATGAAATTTTTACTGAGAGCAATGCATTGCCAAAAAATTCAAAATAAAGAATTTCGATCTGAAGTGTTGCCTATAGGCACGTCTGATAATTCTGAAAGTTTCAACATAGACGAATATATCTGTCTCAAGCTATTTGATATCGAAGTAAACTCGATTACTATGTCCTACTATTGTAAACAGTTGCTTTTATTAGATATTGAAGATCTCGAGAAAGACCTATTCGTCTATGCTGAAACTTTCAGGACTATAAAACGTACCTATAGACAAAATTTCAGATCGTAACTCTTTAGCAGTAGGTCATGGACTTCAAACATTTTAAACTTGTCTTAATCTCAACGAGATCTAATCGTACCCATAATATGAGGTTGAACAGTGTCCGACAATTGGATATGTACCTTCGTTAGATTAAAAGTCAACTTTTGACTTCTTATTTATAAAACTTTACTATGGCAGGAAAATCTCACGTGAGTATAAAATATTCATTCATTTTTCGGTCACTTAAAGCCAATTGATTAGGACTAGAAACAATTTGTTGGAAGCAGACTTTCTCGTTTTTTCCGAATATAAATTCAGAATCTTCTTCTTAGATAAGATTGAATAACTATGGGTAAGATTTGTGAAAAAGTTCAAAATTGTGTCTGGAAAAAGCAAAAATAGCGGTTTTCGCTTCAATTCTATATTATTGCCCAGCACTACATTAGATATCATAATAAGCAAAATCTCATATATGCGTTTCTACTAAAAAAACTGTTTTCTATGGAAATTGGCATTAATCAAAAACAATTGCCTTTAAAAAGGCAAAAATTTAAAAATCTATTATGCAAAACTAAATATCACGCATTGTAGAGCAAACTGAACTGTAGAAATTTTTTTTCGCACTTTAAATTCGATAGATTTTAATCGAAATACAAAAATTCATCAAAATAGTATTCTTTACAAGCATTATTTGAAAAGAATCATGCACGAGAAAGAAATTTTGAACTTATATTTGAAAAGAGCGAAAAAATCTTATTCTAACTAACCGCTTCTGGGTATAGCCGATTGTCTTTAATTGACCGAAAAATGAAGGAATATTTTGTACCAAGACTTTCGCGCCGTAGACTAATCCTTTGTCAGAAGACAAAAACAAAGAAAAGGTCAAGGTCTTCTCTCATAAACATGTTTCCATGTTAATCTGAACCACTTATATATAATAGAAAGAAACGATAATTATTTGAAGCTTTTCTATTAATTGGATTAACTGATTTTTATAGTATAGTTCGATGAAATATATTACTCTGTACGATATGTTTGGTGTTTTTTTTTCTTCTTGCATAAATTATTTATTCATGTAGGTCATTTATAAAGTTAGGAGAAACTAAAACAAATTTTTCTTGTTCTAAAATCGATTTATCGGAAGAGAAGCAAAACAGAAATAAATATAAATATATTTTTTTTCTATCATATATCTCAATTATCGAACACTCATGTTCACATTCGATTAAAACTTTATTAAGAGTCAAGATGATATTCAACTATCTTCATTTGTTTTTTTTTTGCTTTTGTTTGTGTTGGTACTTCCCAAAAGATATAAAATATCTACACACTTAAAAACCAGCATAATTAATCTTGCACATCCAAGTAAGTCAATCAATCATTGATTATTAAAATAAATTCTCAAATATGCATAAATAATAAATCTCTAAAGAAATTTATTGATTTTCATTTATTGAAAAGAAAATTTGTTGTTTTTCTCTTTAAGGTTGGAATATTAGCATTAATTGATGAAGAAAGTCGTTTTCCAAAAGCTACAGATTATACATTAGTTGATAAATTAAATGCAAATTTTTCTAATTCACCATTATATATTCGTTCAAAATCAAGTTTTTCATATTGTTCACAATATTCATTATCATTATCATCATCATCAACACTCCAATCAATTCCATCTTTTTCTATAATGCATTTTGCTGGTCAAGTTCAATATGATGTTCGTAGTTTTCTTGAAAAAAATCGTGACTATCTTGCACCAGAAATTATACAAGTTTTACGTTCATCTCACGTTCAATTAGTTAGTTCATTATTTCAATTACCATTAACTAAAACTGGTGCATTACAAGAAAATTCAAATCAACAATATCATACATCAATTATTGAAACAACACAAACTAATTTTGATTTAAATAATACATTACTACCGTTAAATGCAAGTCATAATCGTGTCCAAGCAACTGTTAGTACTTATTTTCGATATTCATTAACTGATCTTTTTTCAAAAATGACTCATGGTTCACCGAGATTTGTTCGTTGTTTTAAACCAAATAATGATCGTGTACCTGGTTGTTTTGATGCACAAACTGTTCTTGAACAATTAAAATATAGTGGAATATTAGCAGGTAGATATGGTTTCTTTAATATTTAAACTTGAGAAATTGTACTCAAGTGTCCGATTGCTTTTTTGAATCGACTATGATGAGTGTTGTGTCAAAGTTGAAGATAGTTCGGTTGTCTGAATAATATCGAGTTTCGACTTGAAACTTTACATAAATTAAACTCTTAATGATACTGGTTCACTGTGAAAGTTTCATTGATTTAAGTGCTTCGCATCTGAAGATATCAGCATACGAAGAATGATTTTTGCAGAAAGTTTTCATCATTCATATCTGAATGTAGAACGTAGAAAATTTAGGGGAGAGCGACAATTGGTCGACGTCAATTGGTCGCAGCGACAATTCGGCGCTGCGATAATTAGTCGCAATGTAAAATTGGTCGAATATTTAACAGAAGTCTAGTTCTTTTTCACTTCTCCACAAACTTCAATGTACACATATTAGACACAACCACACAACACCGCGTGAAGGTGCAGATGATATGTGAGAAATGTGGATGTTGCCTACAGAATTGACAAGTAGATGACCTTATCAGTTAGCAGAAATTCGATGCTGACATTCGCATTTTAGATTTATCGAAATGTTACAAGAAGATGAAAACTATATTCCTCGTGGAATAGCAAAAGTTGCAACAGATAGAAACCTCGATATAGGGGAAAGCTATGTGGATTGTGCAAAATATTTGAAGTAGCTACTACTTGATCTGGTGTAATATTTTATACATAGATTCAAGAATGCAAGAAACATTCGTATTTCCTCTCATATTTGATATCCATGCGCTTGAATAGATTTTTAGTCAGTTTCTAGATGTTTGTGTGTTATTTCTTTGCGATCCTAGTAAAAATTTTCGATAATTTTATTTCTCAGCACTGCGACCAATTCTACCCTGCGACTAATTGTCGTGGCGCCCAATTGTCGCTTCGACCAATTGACGTCGCCCAATTGTCGTTCGACTAATTGTCGTTCGACCAATTGTCGTAGACCCAAAATTTAGTGTTCAATTTCGCGCTTGGGTACATAGCCTCATGAGTTTAAAATACTCATGTACTGAACCAGTTGTTAACCGGTTATCCTGTTACTACTGTGTCACAAGATCTTGGTTGGATACCCGATTGAGAATTGCCTGAATACATAAGTACTTATCAGATATCTGCTCATTTTTTATAGAATTCTATGAAAAATTTTTCAAGAAGTCAGTAAATTAAATGCTTAGAAGCATTTTTTAATCAAATGATAAAAAACCTCATAAAGTACATAAAATTGCCTGTAACATATAATAATAGGATATTCTGACTTCAGTAGATTTATTAAGGTAAACTCGTCAATAAGGATATTGTTTCTATTATTTCTAGCGGCCAAAATTCGTCATTATGGATTTTCACATCGTATACCATTTGCAAATTTTATTCAACGTTATTCTGTTCTTGCTTATCCAATTAGTATGGATTTACCATTAACACGTGAAACATGTGAAAATATTTTACATAAATTAAAAATGCAAAATTGGACAACGGGTTTGTATTTTATTTCTTTTTTTTTTCTGTTTTTAATGTTTGTTTGTTTTTGAAAGGTAAAAGTAAAGTGTTTTTAAAATATTATCATGCTGAACAATTAACACGTCTTTATTCAAATATGATACGTGCTATAATAACAATACAATCATATGTTCGTATGCGTTTAGTACGTTCACGTTTTAAACAACGTCAATATAAACATTCAAATGATATGATTATACAAGAACTTCATCGACATCCAAAATTCTCACGAGTTTGTTTAATTTGTTTTTGATTAAAAAATTTTAATAGTTTGATTTTTTCTTAGTCTGTTATTGACGATGAAAAATTAAAAAAAGACAAGGCTGCAATTTATATTCAATCATGTATACGTGGTTATTTACAACGTTGTCATATTAAACAAATAAATCAATTAAAACCAAAAAAAACATTATCATATGAAACAGCAGCAACAACAATTCAAAAATGTTTTCGTGGTTTTATTATACGAAAAGCCTATTATCTTTACCGACAACGTCTTCATACACAAATCTTATGTTTTTTACAACAAATTGAATTAATAAGTAATGATTTTTTTACAAAAATTGTTAAAACAAATTATTCAGTACCATTTAAAACAATTGAAACTCGTTCAATAAATATTTCTTATCATAAAAAATGTGTACAGAAATTTTCACAATATTTATTTCCACCACCACCACCATTACCTTTACCATCACCATTTACAATTTTATCACCTCCATTACCACCACCAGATGCACCGACATCAATAAAACCATCAATTATGACATCATCAATTCCTCTTCCACCACCACCACCTTCATTATTTCTTGCTGCACGGCCATCACCACAATCTCGTCATCAATTAATAACAACAAATCGATCACCATCACCATCAGCAGTTTCGAAATTTGCTCAAGTCAGAGATATATTTGCTCGTGCTGAAGCAGCAGTAGCGGCTAATTCACATCATCATCACCACGTTCATCATCCTCATATTCCAATAAAAAATCATATTCAAAATCAACATACACCTGCAGTACATCAAGTTTTATCTATTGAACGAACTCGTAGTCCAAAATCAGTAACGGTTTTAGATGCTGTACAAGAATATCAAAGACAACATATTAATAATCATCATGCGGCTTATAAACGTGTTGGTCATTTAGGTGGTGGTGTTAGTGGAGCTGTTCATAATCGTCCAATAAATCTCAATGCAAATAATTATGTAAGACCTCGTGGTATTGGTGCATTTATTGCAAATAATAATAAGCCTTTATTACAAAATAAACAAACACCATCCGCAGCTCTACCTAATTTTATTTCAGCATCACCAAAACAGCAACATCAACCACCAAAACCAATCACACCGGTAAAATTATAAACGATATCGAACTCTTTAAAAGTATAACACATAGATTTGGCTACGGACTTTCAATCATTGACGAAAGAGTTCTTGGTCACTTTAAACTAGAGTCTATCGGGTTGATCTCAGACCCAACGGGTTCCAGTTGTTCGAGAAATGCGTATGATGCGCTAACTACTGAATACAGAAGATCTGAAAAAAGTATCTCGAATCTTCGAGACGATTATCCAGTTTCGATTGGAAAGTTTTGTTCGCGGTATCAAAGCACGATTCGACCGGGTTCGGATCCGGGTCAGAAAATTTTGAACCCGACGGGCTCTACTATTGACATACCCCTAGATCTCAGTCAATGATATGTGAATATATTAATAACTTTAAATAAAATAAGCTATATTATCTTAATATATCAGTCGAGTTTTAGTCTTACATTTAATTGTTTTGTTATTGTTCCATCAAAAACATGATTTCAGACAAAAGACGAGCATTGTTTTTCTCAATTACTCGATAAAAGCTATTGAAAACATAATTAATTATTTGATAAAAACTAATACATTTTGAAGTATTTACAATCAATAAAACTATTGAACCTATATTTAAAAATCTTAATGAAGACAACAAATTTTAACAAAAACAAAAGAAAAATGATGTCACTAAATTCCAATATGTACCTGAATGAATAGACTTTATAATCCATAGAATAAATTTACATTAGTTGTATTAAATACAATCCACTAAAGGATTATGATATAAATAGCTACACGATTATTATATATATATATACATAAGAAGAATAATTAAAAGTAGATTGAGATAAAACTAATAAGATTTCAATAACTTTTGTTTGTCTCCTTTAAGATAAACCTAGGTTATTTAAACACATGATATTTTTTATTATATAATTTTTAATTTTTTATAGCAAGCTTCATTATCAACACAACCAAAATATGCATTTCATATTTTACTTCGTAAGACTGGTCAAGATTTAAGTACCGGACAAACATTATCAAAACGTCGAATAATAAATGAAACAAAACAAATTGATTTTCGTGGTGTACTTAAATCACGACATACATTAAATGGCGAAAGTGATAATGAACTCATCAAATCGAACAGTGCATTACAACAACAGCAAACAAATATTGATAGTCGAATGAGAATGAATGATCTTTAAAAAAAACAGACAATAATAATAATCATAATAATAATGTACAAAGATCCGGTGTGGTGAGAAAATTCATTAATAAACGATAAAAAAAAGTAGAGGATTATCTTTCTACTTTTCTATACGAGTATAACTCGTTTTCATAATCAAAATCATGATTGTTATAAATACAGCAATTAACTAGAGAAAAAAAACTAAGCGACAAATCTTTCTTTTTTTATCTTTAATCAATGTGAAATTTACATTCTTATTACTATACTTTATACTTTTGTCTTTAACATTATTTTTTTTCTTCTTGTTTTATCAAAGGGTGTTCTATTTAAACAAAAAAAAAGAAATTATTCCCCTTGTTTGTTTGTTTTTTGGTTTGTAATTTTATTCATTTCATTATGACACATACACAATTTAATAATTTTTTTTTTCTTTTTAAACATGTCAAAAACAACTATTGGAAAAGTTATCTTTTTGTTTTTCTTCTTGTCTTATTACAAATGGTCGAACATAAAGTTCAACAAGAATAAATGCTTGTAGTTTTTTTGGAACTCTTATATATGTAAAATAATAAAATGATTTTTCTTCTTGACATTTTTCAAGCTAAAATTCATTTCATATATAATTTCTACTATCGACAACTTTTGACAGGTAGACAAGAGAAAAAATTCATTTCTGACAAACCCTATGATACTTTCGTGCTTTTAAATAATATTATTAACGATTCTAGATAACTTCAAAATATGTGCGTGCACATTTGTATCTCTCTTAGTAAAAAAAAACGATATATTTCGTATCACGCCTACATGACAACAACAAATTGTTGTAACTCAAGTAAGAATAACTGTCAAGAAAATTCCTGAGTCAAACAAATACAAGAAAGAAGATTAGACATTTTCAGCTCCTCTTGTTCTCATAAATATTATGCATATCTGGAGAGAGAAGAAAACAATGAAATCTGTGTGATTAGCATCACACACACATAATGTAACAACATTTAGTCTTCTATTCATCATTTTTTCCAATGCAAGTGCGAATACTTTCTGTATCTCTCTGCTTGTCGTCTGTCTGTCAGTCTCTCTCTCTCTCTTCTTCTTCTTCTCTCTCTGTATGCATTTCTTCCTTTTTCTGAATGAAGAGAAGCAGAAGACGTATCGTCTCGGAAAGGCAAGCAAGCATAGGAGAAAGAAGAGAACATTAGAGTCCGTCAATACTTAAGTTATTGTTATTTTTTGTCTACTAAAAACGAGAAAAAAAAATAATCGAAGAAGAACAAGAAGAACGGAATATCATCAATCTCGACTTGAACATCGACAAACGAGAACATGGAACATCCTTCAATTGTTTCTAACAATCGATCATTTGTTCTGTCAATATTCATTATGTTTATATTCATTGCATTACTTGGTAGGTAAATTTAATTGAGAGAAAAAAAATGTGCTCAATAAGACTCTTCCTTTCAAATTTTACTTTTCTTATTTCAATGAAATGAGTATTCTATATAATATCATAAATTTTCAATGATATATGCTGTTAAAATTAGAATGAATACGCTTCTATATTATCATTATCATTAAATTTTAATATTAATTTTGCTTACTGCTCTGAGATTTATCTTTCTCTTGTTTATCAATAATACTTTAAAAATCTAGTTATTAGTTATCTGTATTTTTTATTTTTATTATGTTCCCCCATCCAGTGTCATATCGACAATTGTCGATATAGTTCGAATGATAAATGTCAGTGTTTTGTTACTTGAAACTACAAAAGAACAGATAGAAAAACGAAAAGAGATCAAACAGCTGAATACACATCTCATTATTTTTTTAGACTCTATCAAAATGAAAAATAATTTGATTTCTTTTTTAGCTCAGTGTCAAGATTTTCGATCACCATTCGGTACACTTCTTGATTGCGATAGTCAAACACCAAATAATTGTTCAGATGAACAACGTCTGTTATATTTTTTAATGAAGTAATATATATTATTGATATTTGTATACTTAAACATTTAAACATATATATATATAGAAATTATTCCAATAGCGTTCGACCAGTACGAAATGCCAGCTTGCCAGTTCCAGTTAAACTGGGTTTAACATTAACTCAAATATTTGATATGGTTAATATTAAAGACTTAAATTATAAAATAGGAAAAAAAACAAAATATTTTGCTATTTTTCAGATAGAAAAAAATCAAATATTAATCACTAATGTATGGCTTGATCAAGAATGGTAATTACTCAAAAATTTTATTTTCGATTTTCTTATCAATCTTCAAAAATTTTCTCTAAGGTTTGATGAATTTCTACAATGGAATCCAGATGATTTCAATGGAATTCGTCGTCTTAATCTTCCGTCCAAACTTATTTGGTTACCAGATATTGTTCTGTATAATGTAAGAACAAGAAAAAAAAACAGAAAGTTTTATTTCAAATTGATTTTAGAATGCCGATGAATTTTCAAATAGTAATATAATGCAAGTAAACGCAATGCTTATTCATAATGGTAGTGTTTTTTGGCCAATACCAACACGATTCAAAAGTACATGTCAAATTGATGTAACATATTTTCCATATGATGAACAAGAATGTAAACTTAAATTTGGTAGTTGGACTTATAATGGATATCAAGTATCAATTGAAGAACGTAGTTATGCAATTGAATTATCCGGTTATGTTCCAAATGGTGAATGGGATTTATTAGATACATCGTATCAAGTTAATATTGTTCGATATCCATGTTGTCCAGAACCATTTCCAGATATAACGTTTTATGTTCGTATTCGACGACGTATTTTATATTATTTATATTCAGTTGTTTTTCCATGTGTTATGTTATCAATATTAACATTACTTGTATTTTGTTTACCACCAGAATCTGGTGAAAAAATTGCTCTTGGTATAACTGTTTTACTTGCGTTTAGTGTTTTTATGTTAGCTATTGCTGAAAATATGCCCGAAACAAGTGAATATATTCCATTAATTAGTATGTTTTATATTTTACATATTTTAAATTATAGAATTTTTATTTTATGTGTTGTTTTTCAAATTTAAGGTTTATATTTAACTGCAGTTATGGCTATGACAAGTGTATCCGTAATGATGACTGTATTCGTTCTTAATCTTCATTATCGTGGTCCAAAGAAAAATGAAATACCATTTTGGCTTCAACAATTATTAAGTTTATCATTAAGTAATATATGTCGTACATTTAATAAGCCAAAAAAAATCAAAATATCATGTACAAGTAAACAACCAAAAATACATAAAAAAAATATTCAAAATAAAAATCAAGCTCAACAAACAGAAAATCGTGTACCTGCTAATGGAATTGTATTATCTTATGCGAATGTCAATGAAACGAAAATAAAATCAAGAGTAACAACAGATGTAAGTAAATAAAATTATATGTATGTAGTTATGACGACACAGAAGAGAACTGTGTTCCTCTTGGAAAATTTAGAAGTCGTTAACAGCGGTGGTCCCACAGGAAGTGTGAAGAGGCCTCAGGCCTTACCCCCTAGCGACACCGCTATATGTATGTCACAGTACTCTATTAAGCTCATTTAAATGATTTTATCTAACATATTTTCTCAAAAAAAAAGGGAAGATTTATACTCATTGCTTTTTCTTTTTGCATAACAAATAATTCGATGGTATTACTCTTTTGATGTATAATTGTTTCTTTTCACTTCAAGAAGTTTCTTCTTTTTGTATATAGAAGGATAATATTAATCTTTTGTTATGATTTATTTGTGGATACGAAATAAACAGAATTTTCTATTCATATCATCATTATATTTATGAAATTCAAGTTTGAAGAAACTTTTCATTTTGTACTTTTCTAATTGTAACGATTCATAATATAATTCAATTCGTGAATATATCATTTGAATGATAATTTATGTCTTATTGTTTCCGATGTAGAATTTTTTATTTCATCATAGAAAATAGATTTAGATGAAGTATATGATTCAATTGAAAATAACAAATTATAGTTTATTAATAGATTATTTGCTAGAGAAATTCAATATCTAAATGCAATTGCTATCCAAATGCATCCTTCTCTAGCTATTCATTGGGTTCTAAGTGATATTTGACAAGCTTCTATTAGTTATTGACTTATCTGACACAAGGAAAAAATTTGTATTTCAATACATATTTATATACATAATGCATATAATTATATATCAAACTAATATAAATACATATGACGATCTAGATTTTCATCAACGTACAAAGAAAGTATGTAAGCAAATAAAGAAGAGAGAAAAAATGATTGACTGTAATTTGACAAGTATAATCATTTTCTTTTCTTTTCCTGATAAATTTAATATATATGATTAATTAAAATAAGTACATTGTTACATTTCAATTTTCTAATAAATTAATATATATAATTATATTTTTTTACAAATACAATAATAATTGTCTTGTTTTTTTCTGCTGCCGAAAGAAAAAATATATATATAATCTTATTTCTCGAAAATTTTTCATCACGTAGACAATCGAGAATATTAATTTGTCAAGTAATGCTGACAAACTCAAATGTATTGGAAAAACAAGTTAATTAAATAAACTAACTGTTATATTGTAGGATAGACCTTTGATAATATTAGATTTTATTTTCACAAAAACATTCATCTATTTTATCGATGTAACATTAGATTTAACTTATACTTTTAAAAATACACCTATGAATTTCGATGTCATTATTTTATCCTAAGAACATAATAGATGTTTTAAAAAACAACATAATAAAAAAAACCATTCATTACTAATTATCGACAAACAACGAAAATATTGTATTTCCTTTAATGTCCTAAGTAAAAGATAATCGAGTATCTTGTTTCGTTCATTCAAATGTGAATAAAATCTTAAAAAATTCTTTGAATAAAATTTTTTTTCTATATTTATTTCAAAATCATAAGTCTTACAAACTCAGTTTCTATGTATCGGAATAACAAATGATCGAATGAATGAAATATATTTTTCTTATTTGCAGGTAAATTCTATGCAAATACACACTGTAAATTCACAAGAAGAAAAACAAGCAAAAAAGCCAAGTCGTAAACATTTACATTGTGAAGAAATTCCAATGAAAAATCGATCAATATCTCATTCAAGTTCAACAGAAACACTTCAAGATGAAATTCAAGATACTTTACATAGTCTATTAAGTAAACAAAAAGAACTTGAACATGATCAACAAGTAACAAATGATTGGCGTGCATTGGCAACAAAAATTGATAAAATTTTATTTTATGTTTTTCTTCTATTAACAATTATATCAACATTAGGTCTTCTTGTTGTTGCACCATTATTTCGAACTAATATTCAACGAAAAATAAAACTTTGGAATGGAACACGTCGACCTTAATGTAAATATTAAAAAAAACATATTTCTATACTTTTAAATTCACGATTTTTCTTTGTTTTGTTTTGTATTTAAATAAAGTCCTACAAAGATATCTTTTTCTTTTTTAACCATTGTTAAACAATGTCCAACAAGATATGATTGATAATTACATTTAGAATATTGAACAATATTTTGATTTGGAATATACGATGAAAAATCGTTAGAATGTCGGCATACATGTTTGTTAACATTTGATTGAATGTAACTATTCGAAATAATTGAGATACAGAAGATATTTATCTATTACTAAGTGCATTTTGAATAGAAGAAGCACGTTTGAATGGATCAATATGTAGTAATTGCTATAAACATCTTATACAAAAGAATAATATAATAAAGATTACTACACAGACAAATTTCATACGTAATAAAAACTCGTTTAAGTACAACATATGTTATTGATGAAAGTGTAAAATAAGTTGTATTCGCTATTCATACAATAACAATATGTAGAATTAGAATAGTTATTAATTGAAATATAAGTAGGTCAAGTTTTATTCAAGTAAAAATTTCTTCTATTATTTATATTTCTTGTAATTTATCAATTATTGCTGGAAATATAAATGAAAACAACCAAAAACCTGGAACAACATTTCTATTATAGAGATCAATAAGGACATTTATGACTTCTATTACAAGAATAACAAATGTCAGAATCAATTGAATTATTGCGAGAGGACCTATTAAACATAAATTCCAGTATTGTGCCCAATATTTTGACGGTAGTATACGATAAGCTGTTCTTGTCCTATTTGTGCTCTTCGTTTAGAATATATGAATAACAATGTTTATGGATATTAATAGAAGTTAAATGTTCTTATCAAAGAAAAAAAGCAAATCTATTTCGATTTCTTCGGCTAACTGCCGTCTAATTGCTCTGTAACGGGCGATCGAAAAATTATTCAACAAGATATTTATTCATTTTTTACCCGTTACAAAGTATTGTCGATGGATCAACAAAAGCTATGATTTTGTGCTCTCCTCAAATGTGGACTTAGAAACTTTGTTTCAATTTTTTGTTTGAGAGTAGGGAAATAATCTTTCAAAAGCTCAAAAAACAATTGTTTAGATAGAAAATTTTTGTATTTTCACTATTGCGATTCAAAACTAAAATTTAGGTTCTTTATTCATATATCAGGTTGTAAATTAGAAGCTATTCGACTAGTTTGTTTTTTTGTCTTCTGACAAGGCGCCATAATTTTCGTTTTTCCGAAATACCCATTTAAGAAAAAATCGACAACTGTTTTACGTTAAAAGGAGCTCTTGAATAAATACTTGGATAAAAGCTATGGCTTAGTTCAACAGCACATATTGTAGAGGAGTATCCAATTTACAAAATCAATGACTCTGACAATCTTCTGCATGTTCGAAATGAATAAAAACCTATTGGCGTACTATTAAAAGTTATTTTTCAGATCTGTCAAAAAAGTGCCTCACTCCTCTTGAACAAAACTAGACACAGCAAGTCTAAAACCCATATTCTAAAAGAGCATCTTAATTCATAGCTTTTAAATACTTTCTAACGGATCAAAACTGAACAAGTATGTTGTCTGAAAACTTTCCAATCAACTATTAGTATAACAATAAAACACAATCGACGCTTTATTTTCATCAATGTAAATTGACGAATTACTTCACGTGTTTTTTTTTATGTCTTTTATTCTTATTTCACACGACAATAAACAATTTATAGAAAAAATTTTGTTCTTTCTGTATCCATTTTATGTTTCGGTTTATGTAACCATTCATATTCACCATATAAAGCATCAAATGTACCATGTTGAATTGATTTAAGTTTAAGTGTAAATCGTGGACCTAATTCTTGTAAAGCAACTTTTTTTTCATTTTTAAATAAATACATATGATGACGAAAAAATATAAAATCACGTTGATTGTGAAATGTAATTATATGACGACCTTTATATTGTGGATCATGAGGAAATAATGCTGCTAATAGACGACCAACACGTATACCAATACGTGTATTAAAATGATTAAGAATTATTTCTGGTCGAATAGTTAATTTAGCACATGATTTACCACGATTTGAACGTAATTGTTTTGATAAACGAGCACTTGTTAAACGAAATTTCATTGTTGGTCCTTCAGGTAAATGAGATATATAAAGAGTACATGGTTTTCCATGATCTTCATTAACAACAAGTAAATCAGTATAACTAAAAAGAATCGAATATCAAAAGAAAAATTTATTACTAAGTTTTTTTTTATCATATTTACCCTAATTTATTCATTTTTTTAATAATTCGTTTAATAGGATGATGTCGTCGTTGAAAATATGTTGTATTCGGTAAAATTCTTGCTAATTCTTTAAGAAATTTATTTGTGAATGATGTTGGAAAACCTTCTTGACTAGTTAATAATAATTTCGGTTCAGTTGAATCTCCTTGTCGTGTGAAATAATTATTTAATTCATCATTTGATATATCATCAAGTGTTTCTTGATCATTTTCATCAACCCATGTTTCATCACGTGAACGTTTTTTTTCAATTGTTTTTGGTTCTTGTCGTGGTTCATCTGATTGTTGTCTTGCTTTACGTTCTTTTAGTTTAGTTTTTGATTTTGAACGTTTTAATTTAGCATAAAGTAATTGACGAACCATTTTATTTCGAACTTGTAAAGTTCCTGATGAAGTTCGTGTTGATGATTCTTCATCTTCACTTCTAGTTTGTTTTGATTGTTTCCGACGAATTGGTTGTTCACCATTATCGATTGAATTAGAATCTTTCTTTCGACGAACCATAATCTTAAATGAATTATTAATTTATGAAGATCTAAATGATTTTGAAATTTATTCAATAATAATCGAAGAAATTAAACATGAAATAATCAGATCGAACGCATTCTAATGTTCTGACAAATGAAATTACTGGTAAAATGTAGAAGTTTTATATTTAACCAATAAATCGCACTTTCAGATAGATGGAGCTGTTAGGTACTAATACTAGTTTCTTCACCTTTTTTATTCATTAACTCAAGTTCGATGATTCTAATTGTTGTTGAAATTTCTTCTAACAAATTTTCTCTATCGAGAAGAAAGTTTCAATAATTCACTTTTTACAAATTCATTATAGTGAACATGATTGCGTAAAAACAAAGTGGTTCTCTTCTGAAGAATCGATATTAGCATCAATTCGATTTGTAAGAACAGAATTTTAAAATGTAGAATAAATCACCGATTTATTCTTATTCTTATTTTTATGGAAATCTTTTGCTTGAACAACTTGTCGTTCTTTGAAAAATTAACCTCGAGAATCAATAATTATAAACTATGAAGAAAATTTGATTTTTAATTAGAACCCGGTAGTTCCGAGAAAATTACAATCGGGGACTGAACTGTACCGGAGCTTTTCACTTTCTCTTATTCGGACTCAGAACCGGAACCGTGGGCTCCGTAAATCTTTTCTACAATAAATGCTATGTCATTTGTGTGTTCAATAATATTGAGCTAGAGATTTCAGTTTGTGGTTACGTTGGCGTTCTTGCTTCACGAGCAAACTCGGTGTATTTCATACGTTTTGATTAGAATGAGACGTCAGCAGTAGGTACAAAATCCATGATAATGTATGTGATTGGATCATAGAATCTTCGATGTATAATGTCATCTTTGTATGAATATGATACAAGGAAATTGTTCATTTATGTACTGCACTAAATATTAATCTTTATACGAGGTAAAGAAATTTATTTTTCAATTGTCTCTAAAAAATGAGAAAAAAAAACAATTTTTATTGTTTTAAGGCGTTTTATATATTGATAAGACTGATAGACTTGTATTCAGTGAAGTGAATTCTTCTTCATTAACGGAAGAAAAGATTTTAAAACTGATTGAAAATGTAGATGAAAGTAAATCATTTTTGAAACTGGAAAGATGTTCATCACGAGTTTAAAGATTTTTCTTGAGAACAAATATTAATTATTTGGTAAATTATTAGCAAATTAAAAGTTTCAACGTTATTTTTTTGGAACTGACATTGGAGCTACTTTCTTGCACTTCTAATCGGAATCGGAAGTGAATTCGTAAGTCCGGCTACGAGCATTTCTTGGAATCGCCGAGCTCTGTTCACCATAATTATATGTCAGAATATTACTGAAGTAGTACTCATATATGATTGAACATAACTATATTTTTGATAATTATACATCGAAAGTTTTCTTTCGGTAAGTCGATAACTATTGATTGATACTTGACATCATAGAAGTATCTCTCAGTATAAATCAAGATCATTTTTATTTAATCTATTCAGAAAATAACTTAGTCGGAAAATCGATAATCAAACTTGATTATTCTTAAAAGCATATGTATTTTCGGATATATAAAAAACAACTATTTCAATAACAAAAACACCAAGATCTCTGAGAAAAATCAATGATAATCATTTATTGTTGAATTTGTTAATGTTTTGGTTACCGATGACGCACGTATGTGTCACTAGCTTTGTTATTGCTTGAATCTAACGTAATTGCTCATGATGCAGGTTTTTTTTTCATAAAGATTCGTATAATATTATATGTCAAGGAGTAAGAGCTTTTGCATTATCATTTTTCTTTGGTAAGTGCCATAAATAGTTATAATGACCTTTCTGGAAACTCTGATAATTAATCTTCAATAACTACTAATTTCTTTTCTATTGAAAATAATTGCAAATTAGATGAAAATTTGTAGAAAGGTAATAAGACATACAAAGTCATTGTGTTTCTTTACTCAAATCACTATCAACTGTTATAAATAAAAAGTTGAAAAGAAAAAAGATATTATTGTATAAAATTGTAATCATATAGACATTTACATGTATGCCATAAAATCCTTATTCAACAGATAATAGCACGCGTACTATGAAATATATGCAAATAATTGTCAACAGAAACAAACTTTGTTTTACCTGTGATAAGAAATAACTATGATGAATCACAAATAACATTTCATCCCAACGAAAATAAGAACATGATATTCAGACGTTGATATAGCGATGAATATATATATATATAGTGGGTACCAGAAGTATCTAACAAAGTCTATTTTCAATTTTTTTCTACTGCCTTAAGCGTTAGAAAAGATTTGAATAGAGAAAATTGTTTCCAAAAGGAGTATCAGGACATACTAATTATTATCAGATTCTCAAAGAGACACTCCAGAAAACTACCACGCTAGTTTTTTAGTGTCTAGAAGAGGTAAGTAAAATTTTGGTTAGTCTACATAGAATGGTAAAGCACGCGATTCTCTACAAAATGAGATGTCTCCCAGTTCTCTGTGACGTTCTTTAGCTGAGATACAGTAATCTAATGGAAGCACCTAAAGTCATTCTTTTTTTTTACTGAAAAAGGAGTCATTTTTTGATCTTCAATCAAATTACTGTATCTCACATAACAAATCTCGAAAAGAACTGGCAGACGTCTCCTTTTGTAGAGAATTGTGTGCTCTATCATTCTATGTAGCCTAAATAAAATTATATTTATGAGCTCTATGTGTTGAAAAACTAAGGTTTAAGCTTTCGGGAGTCCCTATATTTACGAATCTGATAGTAATTTTTATTTTCTTGTATTCATTTTTGAAAACTATTTTCTCTATTCGAACTACCATTTGGATTTTTTCTAACGTTTACGACAGCAGAAAATGCTGAAAATAAACCTTGTTGAATAATTTTCGTATTCACTATCTATGTGCATACTCATCCCGAATTCATACTCAATTCTCTGTTATGTTTTATGTAGCTTGAGTCACACATATCTCAAAAGTTTCTTTTTACTCATAAAATGTTAATGATATGTTAATAGGAACGAGAGTTGTCAAGTGTTTCTTTATAAGCATTTAGTTAACAATTAATACGCATTGTGTTGTTTTTCATCTACATTTATTCCGCATAATTCGTTCACTTTAAGTAATCTGAAATCGACTAAATATCCTATTGCTAAACATACAATATCATATGTTTGTTAGGTTTCATAGATAAATACTTGATAATGAAACTCCATTATACTGATACTTCATGTTATCTCCAAATTGTAGGTAGAAAGGATGCCGCCGGTTAAGAAAATTTTTGATATTTGAAGTTGTTCAATATGGGTTTTGTAGAGAATTAAATGGGCTATCTTTCTGTGTATTTATTTTTTCTTAAGCCTTTTTAGTAACTGAAAAAAATTTAAAACAATGTCATCGACCATTGTTCACACCTGCTCATCAAAAATGGTCTACTAAAAATTAACTAAAGATGTTTGAGAACTTTGTTTGGATACCATTCGATAGAGCTTTGAATTCTCTACAAAATCCTATATTTCAAATTCATCCACTACACTTTACTGTAACTTTATAGGAGAAACCCTGGCAGAAATGTAGCATTTGTGAAAAAACATGTTTTTACATATTGACCCACAGATCTCAGAAAAAGGCGTGCCGCAATGAGATATTTGCAGGAAAACTGCCTGAACATTGGAGTAATAGAAATACGAAAAGATTTTACAAANTTTCTCTCTATCCAATTATAACGACAAATATGGAGCCAGGGAACAAAAATGCATCGAATTAATGCTCTTTTAACACTACCTGAATGATAAATATTATTACTGAGGCGAATTCGGCCCGGGAGCTGTGCATGTTAAAGTACTAATCGATCTGTATCGAAAATTAAGAAGAGGTTCGAGATTTTTGAGCGTAGCGAGAGAGAAAAAAAGAAAATAGTGACACTGGAAATATAACTAATAGATCAGATGTGATTTATTTGGTTTTTGGAGATATTTTGATATGACACAGTCGCGATTTTCATCTATACGCAAATTGATGTAACTATGGAAAAAATAGTTTAATACGTCTATGTTTTCAGTCTTTTACTGCTGAAACGGAAAGATAAGTTACGTTGGAATGTCTTAAAGTTATTCGGGAACAAAAGCGACACCCATATAATTTAAAAAAACAAACTGAAATCGCTTAATCAAAGTCTAGAAAGAAAAATAGTTGAAAAACATTATTTTTCATAGAAGAAAAATCAGTGATAAAAATCAGATTTGGATATTTAAACCGAGCTACGTTTAACGACTGTTTGATATTTATTGCGCGTTAACTGTAGTGGTTATCAAAATGCCAACGATTAAGTGCTGAAAGTGTAAAAAATCATTTGAATCTAGCGATAGAAATAAGTATCGTGATGTTTCCAGTTCTGCATATAATTATTTACAAGACAAGTTGATAGAAGACAATGTGGATTTTTCAAAAACTGGGCCTGTTTATATGTGTTCAACGTGCGAAAGAAATTATCGAAGAAAAAACAAAGAAGAAAAGCAGCAGCAACATCAAGCATTCGTACCATCAAGCCCAGGACAAATGAATACCGAACAATCGAAACAAAAAATACAATTGCAACAATGCTGGAGAATTCCTTATCAACCATATGCTTGTTTTATTTGTGGTACTCTTTTATCAAATAATTCTGCTTTAGTACCAGATGATGCTCATTTAGACTTATTCATCGACTATGATGTTTATGTTTGCGACAAACAGAAATGTTGCGCTCACCATTTGGTTGGTTCGCACTTAGCTCCAGATCAAACTATTGATATCAGTCACTATGAATCAGCAAGTTTGACGCCTTTGGAAGTAACACAATTGGTAATAAATCTGAAAGATGAAATGAAAAGAAGACGCTCTCAACCACATCGCAGTTTATCAAATCCAATACTCGATGAGGAAGAACTGAGAGATTGAATTGGATGGAACAAAAGCAACTTAACATCAATGCTACAAATCATTTTAAACTCAAATTCTATGAGAGACAGCAAACATAGATCGATTGCCGATGCGTTAGTAATGTTTTGGATAAAACTTAAATCTAATTTATCTTATAGTCAAATCGGAACACTCTTCAATTACGACTTATCTAGTGAAGATCGACGTAAACGTGTTTCAAAAGCTTGTGATGGAATTCAACATGCACTTTTAACTCATTTTGTTCCTCGATTTCTTGGTCTGGGTCACCTAAATCGTTCAACACTGCTTTCTCATCACACATCTTATTCAAAAATTTTCTTTGGTGGAGGCGCCTGCCTGATATGGGATGGCACTTATTTATATATCAACAAGAGTAGCGATCATCTGCTACAAAAACAAACTTACTCGGGACAGAAAAAACGTCACTTGGTGAAGATGATGTCAATTACACTTCCTGACGGATATGTTCTAGATACAATTGGACCATACGCAGGAACAAAAAATGATGCTACGATCGCTCATCACATTACCAAAGTGAATGAGCAATTGCAACAGTGGTGTGAGCCCGAGGATGTGGCAATCGTGGATCGAGGTTTCGATCGCGTTCGGGAAGTTTTTGAAGATATGGGACTGGAGGTAAGAATGCCATCATTTTTGAAAGGCAAGCAACACTCCTCCGACGAGGCTAATCAAGCGAGATTGGTAACCAAGGTTCGCTGCGGCGTAGAAATGTACCACGCTCGCTTGAAAAAATTCACTCTCTTGCAACACACTATTCAAAATTCATTATTTGAAAAGATTGGTCCACATGTTAAAATTGTCACAGCTGCACTCAACTGTTTTCGACCACCAATTTTTCAATCAAGTGATCCAAAAAAAGAAGAAAAATTGGCTCGCATTATTAAAGCACGTGCTAAAGCTAACAATCAACTACAAACAACCGTCGAAAAAAAACCACTGAATTCTCGATGTAAATGGGAACAAATCGATGAAACTCAAATTGATTTTCCACGAATGTCAGAAGACCAGTTGCGGGAGCTCTGCTTCGGTGTCTACCAGATAAAGCAAGCACGAACGTATGCTGAAGCTCATCTTAATAAAAACGATGGAGATTATCAACTGGAAGTTACGAAGAATAGCGATACTATCATCCGCTGTAAAATAGATAGTCGTCATTCAGGTGCGACACAATACTATTGTTGGATTGAGTACACAATGGACGATATATATCCAAGTGACTCAGATTCAGATGATGATGACGATCTTTTAGCTGCAAAATTTTACGAAAAACAACCAATTAAAGCTTGGTACTATCAGTGCACTTCAGGAGCACGAACATGTGGGTGTTGCTCACACATTGCGTGTGTTATTTGGTTTATGGCTTTTGCGCGTCATCATAATTTTACTTATTCTTTGTTAAGGGAAAGATATAGGAACACATTGACGAACATGGAAACCGATTGACTTCAGTGCAGGCAGGATTCTCCGATACTTAATGTATTTCAGTAAACAGCACTAAAACCAATGGCCCTCTTTAGGGTCAGCACTAAAACCCAAAGGTCCTCTTTAGGGCCAACGCTAACCCAAACGCCCTCTTTAGGGCCATCAGTAACACGGCAGTAGTTGTGAGATTTAGATTAACTATACCCTGCGTTCCAATGTATGAATAGAAAGCAAATCTACTTTCAAAAGTTTCATTACATAAAAAAAATGCACCCTCAAGATAGAATACAGAATATTTTGAAAGAATTTATCATTCAGGTAGTGTTAAAAGAGCATTAATTCGATGCATTTTTGTTCCCTGACTCAATATTTATCATTATAATTGCATAGAAACAAACTGTAAGCAAAAAAAAGGTCAAAAAAACAATTTTTCTATTATTGCTCAGTGCGCTCATTTTTTTAGCATTTCAGGTATAACTTTTTTCGGCTGGCATATTTTTGTAAAATTTTTTCGTATTTCTATTACTCCAATGTTCAGGCAGTTTTCCTGCAAATATCTCATTGCGGCACGCCTTTTTCTGAGATCTGTGGGTCAATATGTAAAAACATGTTTTTTCACAAATGCTACATTTCTGCCAGGGTTTCTCCTATAAAGTTACAGTAAAGTGTAGTGGATGAATTTGAAATATAGGATTTTGTAGAGAATTCAAAGCTCTATTGAATGGTACCCAAACAAAGTTCTCAAACATCTTTAGTTAATTTTTAGTAGACCATTTTTGATGAGCAGGTGTGAACAATGGTCGATGACATTGTTTTAAATTTTTTTTCAGTTACTAAAAGGGCTTAAGAGAAAATAAATACACAGAAAGATAGCCCATTTAATTCTCTACAAAACCCATATTGAGCAACTTCAAAAATCAAAAATTTTCTTAACCGGCGGCATCCTTTATATAAGTGAAAAACAAAATGATTATAAGGAAATACTTGAAAAATCTGACGTATGATTCAAGCTGCATAAAAAATAAGCATTGAAGTATCAGCTTTCATGAGCACGTTCATATGTATACTATTTGGTTTTTCTTCATTGTAGTTAGATCAGCATCATGGCAACTTCTGTGAGCTCTACTAAAACACATCAAAGATCTGCTAGACATGTATCTAAAAGTCCAAAACGTAGATATTCTCCATCACGAGTTCAACCGGATGTATTATTCGAATCAGAAGAATCTGCATATTCAGATCCAATAGATTCTTGTCGATCATTGAGTAAGTTGTTATTACATTGCTAGCATTTCTATTATATTAATTATTTATAGTATCAAATGTGGTATTTGAACGACGTGATCGTGAAAGTTTATCATCTCAAGCGACACAATTATTTAATTCTCAAACAACATTTGAAGATGAAGCCGAACGTTTATGGCTTCTTGAGAATATTCATAGTACAACAATATTGATTAAAGTTGATCAAGTTGTATTCACAATAAATGGAAATTATGCTCTAAAGTTTGTAGATTAATAAGAATTATTATTATTTTTATTGTCAATTATTAATTTAAAAAGAGAATATCAACCATGTGTTCTTTTTCTTCATGGATTTGGTGTAACAAGAAATTGGGCTAAGTATGACATTTGAATTTGTCTATTTTTGTTTACCTACTATTTACGATTGTTTATAAATAGTTGGATAAAATTAGCCTATCCGTTGAGTCAACGAAAACGATATTCTGTTATTTTTGTTGATTTGCCTGGTTTCGGTCAATCGAGTGGTCGTAGTTTAGATCAAACAAGTTGGAAACGATATGGACCTGAAATTCTCATTGCCATTCTCTCAAGTTTTCATCTTCGACATTCAGTTAGTGTTGTTGCTCAATGTGGTAAGTCTTAAATATTATTTCGATTATTTTAATGAAATATAAATTATAAAATAGGTGGAGCAGCTACAACTGTTCGTGCTATTAATCGATATCCTCAATGGTTCAGAGGTCGTGGTCTTGTATTTTCAAATTCTGTTATTGGTGATTTTGGCGAATCAAAAGTTGGAGTAATAAAATTTTTCGTTGTTCAATTCTAACATTTAATTTTCATTTCAATTATTTGTTTTGAAGAAAATTAATTTGTTATTGAATCATGTATTTTTTCTTTTTTTGTGAATTAGGAATTTGAAGCCAATCTAACAAAATATAATATACATATCGTTGTTTATTGGATTCCTGATCAAGATCACACAAAATATTGTGTGGTAAGAGTTATATTTTTTTTGGTGTAATTTGAATTTTTTTAAAAATTTTTATTCATAATTAAAGGCATACAAACGATGGAATAAATTGCGTTTGGCAAGTTTTCGTAATTTACAACTAGTTGATCTTGATCCAGCTAAACAGACGATGAAACAATTCTATCCTGTAATACATGTCGTTGGTATCAGTCGTTGTTCATCAAAAAATGAAGCCTATGTTTATAAACTAAGTGATGAATTTATTCAGCAAGTGATTGATACATTAGATCGAAAATCATAATTAGCGGATTGAAATATGCACTAATTTTTATTCTATATTCTATTTATATTAATGATAAAATAAAATTAAAGTACAATAAATTATATATATATATAATATAAACTAAAGGGTAGTCACCACAAATACATATGTGCACAAGAAAGTAAGACGAATCTCGTATAAAACACTCTTGCCGTACTTTGAATGTTTGAAAGAAAATCTTTGGTTCCATATTATATTATTGGTCACAGAACTGTTTATTATTTTAATTAAAAAGAGTATACTGAACCTCAATGTTAAATATCCATACTTTTATTTATTTTTTGTTCATTCAATATATATTTAAAAAATTTACTTACAACAATTGTGATGAATTTCTCTTACAAAACTTTAAAAAAATGTTTTCTTGACAACGTCTTCTATTGAAATAGTTGAAAGCTGGATTTAAAAAAGAAATAGTCCTTTCAGATACAAGGTGAGATGGTGACAACCAAGGAAAGTAAAAATAAAAATCTATAACAGTCTAAAGAAGCATAACTCAAAAAAGAAAGAAAAAACGACTTCAGAACACAAGCAAATATAAAAGTAGATTCATTCGTTCTGTCATGTTGTTGTCGTTACCACAGTCACCATGCCGTTTCTCATATGTCAACAAATGTTGATAGAATAAGAAGAATAAGTGTTGTTTCACTCCAGTTCAGTTTTTAACTAGAATAAAATTGATCTTTATAATTATGGCTGAATATTCGAAGAGTTCCAAGAAGAAAAGGCCATCAAAAAAAATGACAAAGAATTATGAACGTGAAGAAGAAGATTATGAAGAAAGTAACGACTATGATTTGGAGATACAACAACAACAATTACAACAACAAGAAATTCAGCTTACAGAAGAAGACATTCCTGAACAATCTTTAGCAAAAAGACAAAATGTTTTGCAAGAAAAAGCACCAAAGAGATCGACAAAATCTAAATTCGAAAGTGCACCTGCGGATTACTATCAAAGACAAAAGCCTCAAACATTACCTAGTAAAATGCCTCAATCATTACCAAATATATTGCCTACTCAACAAATGACTAAAGGAAAAAATATTTTTGCAAAGAAACAACAATTTGATCCAGAAATATTTGAAAATGAAAGCAATGACTTTTCTGGACCATTTTCACCTTTACCACCTATAACAAGTACACAGAATTTCAATGAAATTTTTCAAACTAAACTTCAATCTCATTCAATGAAAGATTTCAAAGTAAGTCATTAAATATTATGTAACATAAACTAAAAAGCAAATGATAAATCTTGTTTTTTTTTGTTTTGTATAGGATTATTTTCTTGAACATGCTAAATTAACAGGAAAAATCGAATGTGATGCAAATATATTATTAACCGATGTTCATCTTTATGAATTAAGTCAATTTGATTGGCCTCATCTTGAAACAATTCGTATTCGTGCATGTCCTCATTTAACACCATATGCTATGAATTATATTGAAAAGATTTCTAAAAAACATAATGATCGACAAATAAATATCGTAAGTTTTCTAAACAAACATTTTAATTAGCTATGAAAATTTCAGAACATCTATGTATTAATTATTCATTTTTAGAATGTCGAATTACTGTTACATGCTCATAATACAATAGAAAATAAAATCAATTTGATTGATAATACTATTACCAATCTTGAACCATTCTTTGGAAAAGTAAATTTTTTTTTCTATTTTGTTATTTTTTTTCTCAATTATATTATTTTTATATTAAAGAGTACGAAAATATCAATAACAAAAGTCTTAATTTATCATGCTAATACTCATAATGATTCAATGTTACCATCAAAACAAATGATTATAAATCAAATTCGAAAATCAAAAGAAAATTATCCTATGTTACTTAATTATTTATCATTAAAAGAGGATGAATGTCAAGTATCACTTCTTGAATGTGCTAATGTAAGTTCAATATTAAATTTTTAATGAAGTAAAAAGATAAGAATATTTTTTTCATTCTGTTTCAAGTCAATTCTATTCAAAGAAATGTGTACAGCATTTCATCCACAAATAATTTATTTGGTTGTTTCGAGTGTTGATGATATACTCAAATGTTTTTTTTCACTTGATTGTAATAGATCATTTACAATTTTGGTAAACAGATAACAAAAACAAAACAAAAAAGACACGAATATGCATTTTTCATAATTTTAGCAAAAAAAACAAATTCGATTGATTATTAATAATAATGAATCTGATGAAGAATTTTATTCTGATATTCATTTACATTTGGACAATATTGCTAAGTCTGCTCATGAAATCTATTCTCAATTTATTAATGAAACACCAGAATATGTGTAAGTTTAAATAAATATAAGATTTATCAAATATTTTTAAGTTATTTTTCAGATCAGAGAATGATGATTTACGTCGAAATCATTATCTTACTAGTTTATTACATGTTCAAACAAAGTGTAAAATGTTAAAAAAGAAATTAAGTAAAGATCAATGTTTAATTTTTCGACAAAATGTAAAATTATTCAATTGTTATCATGATTTAATAAAATATGTGTATTCTTTCATAGGATTCATCATTTGTAACAAATCATTTAATGAAAGATTCAATCAAACATTGCAAACCTTTATATATATTTGATAGTATTGACAGTCTCAGTAAAAATGAAGAAAAAAATAAAATATTCGAAACAAATGAACCAATTGTGAAACTTGTTAACGAATTAACAAATAAAGCGAAAGAACAAAGTTTAGATTCAACAACACAAAATTCAACAAAAACAGCACAAATTTATTATGCACACAAATTAGTTAATGTAAAGAAAATACGAATTCGTTTTTTTTTTCTAACACTAACAAACACATTTTATGATTTTGTTTTTTAAGGATAAAGTTCTTGATATGTATTCTAAATCGAATGGTAAATCATATTGTATTTCGGATATTGAATGGTTTTGTGATATAATGAATAATCTTTTCAATATTGAAACCCATACTAATCGAAAAACTGAACATCTATTAAAACATTGCAAACAAACTCTTGGTACAAATATTCGTTTGATTTCAAAAACAAATTTTAAAAAATTAAAAATCAGTGCAGATGAAGTATTCAATTATATTTCATTCTCAATTTATTTTTGTTTTTGTTTTATTATAGATGAATTTCTTTCAATGGTTGTTCAGTACATGGAATATTGCTTATCCAGTATCAATAATGGATCAAAATGATAATAATATGTTTATTCTTTTTAATTCCATATCATTAGAACCACCTGTTCCATTAGTAAATATATTTGTCTTAATGATAATTTAAAAAAAAAACAAAAGAACGAAAAATTTTTTTAAATGTTTATATTTAGAGTGTTATTTGGAGTAAATCATGGGCAACAAGTGAATATGAAACTGAAATTTATTTTCATTTGTTACATCCATGCGATGCATCAATTCTCTTTCATCTTTATAAATTATTGCCATCACAAAAATTATTACTTGCTTCAAAACATTTCTTACTTATTCAAGAAGGAGCAATAGAAATTTTAGTTCAATATCATCATAATACTGGTCAACATATGGGTATTCTTGTTTTTCTTCTTGATTTCAATGAACTATTATCTAATCTTTATTTTATTAGCTATAAGTATTACTTTTCGTGCACTTAATTTAAATACATCGAAAGATACGTCGGATGCAACCGTTCGATTAATGCAAGAATCATTTCAATATGTTCTTAGAGAGTATTATATTATTATTTGGGCGTTTTTATTCAGACATGATTATGCTTTTAAAGTATTTGTAATAAAATGATTAATTGAAAAAAACATTTTTTTTTTCGTTTTCATATATTTAGATTGAAGAAAAAAGTAAAAATCCTTCTAATCTTTTCGAACAGATAAATGGTAAGTAGAGCGAACAATACTTAAAAATTTTTCAATATAAGTTTTATTTTAAAACTAAGGTAATGAATTAATGTATCATCAATGGAAAGATATAGCACTTTATCATTATTCACCAGCACCTACTCTTACGTCGACTTGTTCTGTATGTGGTCTTCGTTCTACAGCAAGCAAAGCTCTTTATGTAAAAAAAAAATTTCTTTTATTCAATTATAAATTTTCATTTTTATTGTTATTATTTTTGTTTTTAAGGATGCGTGTACCATATTATCACCTGCACGATATACAACAGAAAAGAAAATTAACACAGATGAAGTAGATAAAAATGAAGATCAATCCGGTTTATTAATATTTCAACTTGATACAAAACCACTTTCTTATATAGGCAAACATAGTATGCGACCAGATGGATGTAATTCATTTGAAGTTATATTTTTAAGTACTGATAATGAGAATGAGCAATCGAATTCTCCAATATTATCGTCTATTCAAATTGGATGTTTAATGTAAATTATGAGTATAGTTTTTTTTTTAAACAATACTTTATTGTTGATGTTTCGTAGGAATAATTTTGATATAAAAGATGATGAAAAAATCCTTTTTGAATATGGTACTGAGTCCAAAACACAATCAAAACCTCGTGATGTTCAACAATCACAAGAAGTATGTATAATAAATATTGTTTTAATTATCACTTATTTTTTTCAATAATTTCAGACTCTTCACACATCGTATTTAGATGAAATTCGTAGTTTTGGTGGTATAAAAGGTTTAAAAGGTGCAAAAAATAAGTCTCATAAAAAAACTGAATTACAAGAACTTTATAACGGTTTACGATTACGTATTGATATATTATTTACTGATAAATCGGTATAATCTTTTTTTTTAATTTAATTAATCTAGATTTTCGTATTTCTTTGAATAGAATTCATATGAATTAGTTTTTTCAATTAATGATATTCCATGGTCTCGCCAAATAATTAAACGCAAATCAACTCAAACAATGTTTCAACCCATCATACAAAGTTCAGGAATTCATAATTCTGAACGAAATATTAATGTGATCATTCATCATAAGAAAACAGCACTTGTTTGTTTCTTTTTTTTTTAAAGCTTAATCAAATAATTCCCTATATGATATTCTATCTTTTAGGACAAATCAATTATTGATACCGCTGCATCAGGTACGAAAAACAACCCATGGAAAGTTGGTATGCGTCTTGAAGCTAAAGATCGAAAAAATCCATCTATATTAGCTATTGCTAATATTAGTAAGCATTTTTTTCTCGCTCATAAAGTCTTTCTTATCTTTACAAATATATTTTAGTCGAAGTTTATGATGATAATCGTATACGTATTAATTTTGATGGATGGACATCAACATTTGATTATACAGTTGAAACTGATAATTCTGATCTTCATCCTTGTGGTTATTGGGAATATGTTCAACGTGTTTTATATAAGAATCCTAATTCATCGAAATTAAATCCACATTTTACTTTTAATCGTTATGATAAACCAAAATGTAAATATAGAGAAAAGGAAAATTTGTTTATTTTTTAGTGAATTATTAAATTTTATTTTATTTTAGCTTATGATGGCCTATTTAGTTGGCGTAATTATTTAACAGAAAAAAATCAAGAACCAGTACCGTTCGAATGTTTCAGCTATGTAAGATATTAAGAAAAAACACGAACTATCAAAATAAAACTTATATCTATCCATTTTCTCATAACTTAGGTACAAACAGAAGGCATGCCTGTCGAATATTTTCCACATGGTATATCAAAAGCTGCATTTACTTGCCTTTCATGTCGCCATTATAATAATGTACGAGTTAAATATCATAAAATGAATACATTCATTCAAGATGAAATAGTAAATAGAATACTTTATGAACATCATATAGAAACAAGTACTCCTACAACAACAACAAGTCCAGGTCTAGTTCTATTACCAACACCGTTTGATACATCAACTTTTATGTATCCATGTTTGAAACACTTTCAAAATTCATCAAATTTCATTGTGCATTTAACATGCAATCATCGAAGTAATATGAAATAATTTTTATAAGTGAATTCATAATTGATTTAATTTGATTAGGTATTTCTCCATTGGATTCAACAACTATTATATCTGGTACACATTTAATGGATACTGATGGTGGTAGCATAGAAAAAAAAGATCTTAATATGTCACTAATTACAATATGTATGTTAACTGCTATTGATCTTGCTCGAAATCAAGTAAGTTTATCAACAGAAGTTTAGTTTTTCATTAATTTTTATTTATTGTTTTTTTCTTGCGTTTTTGAGAAACGTTTAATAGCACCTTTAACATCAAAATTAGTTTCAAATAATAATAATAATAATTTATTTGGTAAACGTCATGTTGATTATTATATGCGACGTTGGCTTGATTTAAGTGCTTATATAACATGTTTTCATTCAACAAGCTTTTATAATAAACGTCCATCATCAATGAATCTATCTCAAACTAATGCTATGCCATTTTATACATCTTATACTGATCAAGATTTATATCCTAGTCTTAACAATGGTCTTAATTCAATAACAATAGATTCATCATATCCATTGAATACAAATAAAGAAAATCAATTTGGTAAATATGGTGAATGTTATTATTGTTGTTTACTTCGTAAAGATGAAATAAAAGATCGATCTGATATGTCATTACAAAAACGTTTGGAATTAATTGGTGATTATGCATCAAGTATATTTTATCTTGAATTATATAAACAAGAAAAAAATTTAATTGAAAATGGTTTAATATTAAATGATGATTTTTTTCTTAAATTTAATGGTCTAGAAATAATTGATATAACAAATATAATAATTGATTGTTTTCAATTAAAGAATAAGAATATATATTGTTTAAAAAATTTAACATATCTTTCACTTGAAAATAATGATCTTTCAGTAATTCAAATTGATTTTCAATATTTAAATCAATTAACTTATTTAAAATTCATTGAAAATCCATTTGAATCATTACCATTAAATTGTTTATCGTCAAAATCATTACAATATGTTGAATTTTCTAGACTTGGTCGATTAAGTGAAATTGATCATAATACAAGAATCTCATCGAAATTAAAAACATTATTAATTACAGAAAGTATATTAACAACATTACCACAAACATTAGCAACAGATGCTCGAGATAAATTGACTAAATTAACATTAAATGGTGTTCCTTGGTGGGGAGCGAGTGGATTGAGTGTTAATGAAGTTATTAAATATGATTCATTTCTTAAAAAATTTGTTATATTTCTTGATTCGGATGAATTAGGAAAAATTTATCGTATGTATGATGAAGATGTTAATGGAGTTTTATCATTTTCAGAAATTAATTTAATGAATGCTCATATGTATCGTTATATTTCACGATTAAGATCATCCAATACAAAAATTGTAAGGAATCATATTAAATTTAAAAATTTTGCCTTTTCTTTTTGTAAAACACGACTTACAGCCAACATTGAAGATATACGGGCAGAAATTTGCCACTCATTCTTCCCATAGATGCTATAGACGGATAAAGTAACGAAATCAAAGTATATTGTATCATTATTGATTAATGATCGCGTCAGAAGTAAAAATGAATGGGTGTAAGCTCAACAACTTGACAGAGGCAATAGCTAGCGGCTTGCGGTTTGCAGTAATCGAAAGAGGAGAACTCAGAATAACGTCTGATGTTCTCCTTGTTCGATTACTTCAAACTATATATAGCTCGCTTTTGTCCATTTCCCCAACACATCATAGACCATATATATCAATAAAGTCTAGTTTCAATATATGAACTACTTCCTTATTTAGTACGAACAGTTACATCGTGTTTCACATTTTAATCGCACAGGAATTGTGCTAACAACTTTCTTTATACATTTTTATTTTCAGCCGAATTCTGGTCGATCATCTGTTGAACCAACAAATATAAATGAATCAGATATTTTAAAGCAAGAGTCATTTAGTAGTGATCCATCGGGTATTCCATCAGCGATATTTTATCTTGAAAATTTAACTGAACTTAGTATTGAATATCAAGGAATTAAAATGGTACCAGATGCAATCAAAAATTTAAAATCTTTAGTTATATTTAATTTAAATTATTGTATTGAACTTGAAACATTAAGTGCAGAAGTAGGATTTTTACCACTTAGAGAGCTTAATTTAACTGGATGTGTCTCATTAAAAACACCACCAATGGAAATAATACGTCGTGGTCATACACAAACAATGGCATTTTTACAACGATTAATTAGTGGGTCTACTCCATGTAAAAGAACAAAACTTATGTTAGTTGGTCTCGGTGGAGCAGGCAAAACAAGTTTAGTGCGTGCTTTTCTTGAATCACATTCTGATACACCACCAGCAGTTACCGATGGTATTGATATTGTCAAATGGAAAGTGCCTTTAAATGAACCTGATGAGTTTCTTGAATTTAGTGTTTGGGATTTTGCAGGACAATCAGTTTATTATCATACTCACCAAGTAAGATATACGAATTGACTCTTTCTTTTAAATTTCAAAGTTTTTAACTATTCTAAATTTAGTTTTTTTTGGCTAAGAAAGCTGTTTATGTACTTGCATGGAATATTCGTCTTGGAGCTGAACATGCTGGTCTTGATTTTTGGCTATCTTCAATATGTTGTCATGCACCAAATGCACCGATATTTGTTGTCGGTACACATTCAGATTTAGTATCTCGTATTGATCTACGTCAAGATGATCTTAAACGACGTTATCCTCAAATAACTGGGTTCTTTAATGTTAGTACACATACAGGTGATAATGTTAGTGAATTAATTGAAAGTATTATTAAAACGACATTAGCACTACCTTATATGGATGAACAAATTCCAAAAGTATGGCTTAGTTTTGAACAATTGATTGCTGCATGTGATGATGATATACTTGAATATAATCAAGTAGCAGATATAGCTCATAATGCTGGCATATTTGATTCAGGTGAAGTTCTTCAATCTATACAATTCTTACATGATCTTGGTTCTTTACAATATTTTTCTTCGGAACATTTAAAAAATTATGTTGTTATTAATCCACAATGGATTATTAATGTTATGGCATGTATTGTTAGTATTAGAGATAGTCCTGTCAAAAATGGGCGTCTATTCCATTCAGATATAGATGTCATTTGGGAAGATTATGATAGCAACTTACGTCCTTGGATTTTAAAGTTGACTGAAGCATTCGATTTAACATTTCCAGTACCTGATCAAAATATGAATTTAGTACCATGTCTCTTACCTGAAGAAGAACCTGAGGTGTGTTATTTGATTTTTTTGTTTTTATTCATTGACTAATGTCAATTAATTTCAATTTAATGTTTTTAGTACGCATGGAATGATGATCTTAGTGACACAGAAATTCGAGAAATGAAGATTACTTATACATTTAATTATTTACCCGGTATGTTTTATCGAAGATATACCACTTGACGACAGAGATGAAATCGATTTGTGTTGTTTTTCTTGGAAGCGAACTGATCCCATCTCTCGGTGACGAAGTAGCAATATTGCTATATCACTGTATTGCAGCTTTACATGATTGTCAATCTATTCAGATGATAATACGTCTATCTTGATTGTATCAGAAGAAAGACATCACATAAAAGAGCGAATCTACATCCTCAGTAACACCTCGACATAAAATTACAGCTTACTAGAACCTACATGATGTACATAGTTCTGACTCAAAAGTGATTTGACACTTAGAAACGTTTCTTCGTTAACGTCATCTTCAATACGATATATGATTATATACTTAACATTTCTGCTTGTTTCTTTTTTTATATAGCCGGATTATTCAATCGGGCACAAGTTCGTCTTTTTCAATTTTCTGATAAATCAACAATTTGGCGTTATGGTTCATTACTAGTGAAAAATAATCATCGAGCAGTTATACTACGTACAGATGGTAAATTTGAAATTTTATTTATTTTCATATATTATTTACTATTATCCTTTTTTTCAGATCGACATATTGTCATTAAAATTCAAGGTATTCGACCAGATAATATTCTTTTCTTAATTCATGAAGTATTTGAAAATCTTGTTAATGAATCATTTTTTGGTGTTACATATGATATTGCTTTTCCATGTCCAGATTGTCTTGATTCAGTATGATCTTCTATAATTATAACATATAATCAAATAAATAAATATTTCATTTTTTTAGCGTATTAATGAACCTTGGCAATTTTCATCTTCACTTATTAATCGAGCTATTGAACTTAAATCACCATCAATTCAATGTCATCGATTTTTCCATGTTGCATCTGTTACTGATTGTAAGATTTTTAAATTATGTTGAACGTGTTCATTATTCATGCATGTATTTTATTAATAGTACAAGCACTTATTCCACCAGATAGTAAAAGTAATTATGATTTACATTTGGAATATTCTGTACGTGATCTTAAATCTTATAAACAAAATATGGCAGTTGATATTGTATATATCTATCCAGCAGATCATATTCCAACGGCATCAGAAATCGAGACTAAAGTTGATCCAAGAAAAATTAAAGATGATTTAACAAGTATATTCTAAGAAAAAAAGAATGTTTTTTTTTTTTATTATATTTTCTTATGAAAATTTAGAACGTGGTTTAACAATTTGGACACCGGACTCAATGAAAGATTTTAAAATTGAAAATCATTATTTAGTTATTAAAGAAGCACGATTTATTATATTTGGTATTTCAACTGAATTAATAGATAATCCTGATAATAGAAACTTATATGAAGCTTTACAAACAATAATAAATATCTTACGTAAACCAATTATTCCAGTTTTATTTGGTAGTGATATGAAATGGAAAGAGAGTGATGTTGGTGTTGCATTATCAGATAAACTATATATTAATATGCAAAACGTAAAACGATATGACTATCGTATAAAAGAATTAATAGATTTAGTTGAACAAGAAAAAAATCAAAATGATCAAAATAAACAAATACGAGATCAACCAACCGATCTTTTCATAAGTTATTGTTGGGCAAATTCACATGATGCTGTCAGTAAAGGTATACAAATGATCTGATTTCATATTTTCAAACATATTGTTTTGTTTTCTTTTTACGTCTAGGTACAAAACCAACTGCGACCTCAATTGGATGGGGAGATCCTCGAGTTATAAAAGTACTTGTTTTCTTAATAAGATATATTTTATTAATCGATAGTCATTTTTATTGGTAGGATTATCTTGAAGAACGTGGATTACGTGTTTGGATGGATGTTAATCGTTTAGGCAAATCCGGTGTACTTCATGATATTGTTCATGTATGATATCCATATTCGTTTTAAGTTCAAATTTCATTTTCTTTTTTTCTTCTTCTAAGGGTTTAAAAAATACAAAACTTGTCATAGCATGTGTATCCGATGAATATACACAAAGTGAAGTTTGTCGTAATGAATTTTTATTTGCAAAAAATACATTAAGGCTTCCTGTTGTATTGGCTATATTTGGTATTGGTGATAAATGGCGAACGACAGAAGTTGGCATGTGTAGTCTTGCATGTTCACAAGTGAATTTTCAATTTGAAAATCCAACTGCTTTTGAAGATATCTATAATCAGATTCAAAGTAATTTACCTAAACGACCGACTTCAGCTAAAGAAACTTCATTGAACGTCATTGCAAAACCAGGCGCTGAAGAAATAACTACAGCTGCTTATCAAGTATGAATTTTACGTTTAAATATCATCGGTCATAAATCATAAGTATTATTTGCTTTAGGAATTATTTGAATTAACACAACGTAAATTTCTTCGTGTAACAACTGGTTTTGCTGATACAATGAATGCTCGAGCTTATCCTCGTTTATTTGCTCTTGATTTTATGGGCGAGACAGAAAAATCAGCACAAGAATTAGCTCGTATTGAAATGGCTACTCAAATGAATACACAACGACAAGATGACAAAGACAATACAGAACGGGATCTCGAAGCTGAACGACAACGTGATGAAGAACTTCTTCGTGAACAACAAGAAACTAAGGAAAATGCTGATGGTGATTCTAAAGAAAAAGAAATTGTTAAAGAAAAAACTAAAACATTATGTATACGTGTACTTTGTGAAAACGAAGAAAATTGGCATTCAGCTGGAAATCCATTTGAAATTACTGAAAAGGTTGTAATACAAAATGGTGCATTATATTTATCACGAATTATGCTTCTGCTCAAACAAAGTGATTTAGCATTAGAAATTCTTACTAGCGATGAAGGTGAAATTGAATTACAGAAACTTACTGAAGTAATAATAGATGTTTTTTTGTTTCATTAATTTACATTTTTATTTTTATTTTCATCATAAATAGACTGCAAATTCTATGAATATGGAAGTAAGAGATTCTTATGGATATTTACGCCGATGTGTAATGGATTGTGATTTAGAAGAAAAATATTCTGGTCTTAAACAATGCCTTATGCCATCAGGCAAAGTTTTATGGCTTTGTGAACAACATCAAAAACAACCACGTGTTATACTTGTTACCGGTTCAATGGCTGGTGGTTATACTCGTCCACAAGCTGAAGAAAAGAGTGAAATAATGAAAGCATTAGTTAAACTCAATGAGCGAAGTATATATATTATATCTATATTAATTTCTTTTCTAATTTTCTAATTTTTCTTTTATCCTGTATAGTTGCCAATAATGAATTACCTCCTCCTACTATCAAAGTTCCTAGTACTGGCAGTGTTCGTCGTTTATCAACAGAAAAACTATCACAAAGTGGCCGTCATTCAGGTCGATATAGTCAACAAGAGTCTTCATCATTAATCACACCGCGACGACAAAGTACTTTACTAATTGATAAGAATATTGAAGAAAATGATGATGAAAATGCTGAAACAACTTCAAATGAATTAGAAAATTTAAATTCAAATCTAAAACAAGAAGATAGTACTGTAGTTGAATCAACAGATTGTTCAATTATGTGAAAGTGATATGCCTATTATAATCGTCCATGTTTAGGACAGTTGCTAAAAGAACATTTATTCATCGGACAGTTAAGCAAGGATATTTGTACAAAAATCTGTTTAAAGAGTGACTACTTTAACCTTATACATGAACATAGTGTATAGACTCTCACTAGAAAAAGAGAAAAACGAACATCATTTGTAATCTAAGTTGAAGAAAAAAGATTGCATAACTTTCGAATGATTCATGCCATGATCTGAGTAATTGCCTTCCTACAAGATAAAACCAATAACAATAGAATTCGAATTACTTTGCGATTAATGTTTGGAAGAACGTTAATGAAAGAGTATTTCTAAATTCTGATACTAACTTTCGATTTTTAAGAAATGGTCCATATGAGTTTTTGGATAGTCATATTTTCATGAAATTGTCTAACTTGTTTGGGAACTTAGTCCTTATAATTACTTCTAATTTTATTAGAATAATCGAACTAGAACGCATTTTTCTTGCTCAGGACAATCGAAGATTTTTCTAGAAACAGATTTTATGAACAAATATCCATGCACAACTGTCTATGTTTCCGGTTATCAATATTTTTGTTTGTAGTGTGTGTATTTCAGGTTTTTTAATATTTTTCTTGAATTGTTCAATGCATTTAACAGAACTTTTCGTTTTGTGATATGATGCTATGCATATTTTCTTCAAAACAATATAAATAAAAAAAAGCTAAAGAAAAAACTTTCTAACACCACATGTAAAAAGATTGCTATTGATACCAAAGTTTACTTGAATTTCATGATTAAGTTCATTGCGATAGAATTTTTCTGTAAATGTATAGAAACGTAATATTTCTTAATATAGAAATGAATGAAGTTTCATTCAGTTATACTTACTCAACTATTGTTAAAGAATGTTTGTGTTGAGAAAATATAAGTTTTTTTGAAATTTGATTTGTACAATCAATGTTTTCTCTGGCAAAAAAAGACTCAAAAATATTTGAAGCGTTTTTCGACTGTGAATGAATGTGGTGTACAGAATCGAAGATACGAATTCATATGGATTAGATGATACTGAATAATGTATGAAAAATTTGATAAAATTCATTAGTATTTGATTCATTTTCATATATATTCTTAAAACTAGCTGCCACAAGAGCTAACCCCATGGTGCGAACTCGGTACAAAGCACATCCTCAAACTGGACTTATTGTCAGTGAGATTATAAAATTTTCAAATTGGTTGAAATGAAAATAAATCGATTACTAGGAATCGAACTACTAGTAGATTATGTGCTAATCAAAAATCGATAGACATTGCATCAAAATCCACGAAAAGGCGAGGTCGGATGAAGCCAGTTGCCTCTCCCCTTCACCCTTAAATTTCAAGTTTCTATATTTCCTTACTCAAAATGATCAGATCTATCTGAATTCGAGTAAGAAACAGTCAGCTATAGCCAATCAAACGACAAATTAGCAAATTCGGACTAAAATAACTGTTTAAGACTTTATGCTTGATCGTGCTCACTCTATTTACTTGTGAAGTCAGTACTGATTTAGCATGAACATTTGTGATAGTAATGACTTTCTGAGCTCTATTCAAGAGCATTTTTCAAAGAATTAAAAAGCCGTGACCAGAGTGTTTCGGAGGACTTTTGGAGACTCCAATGGCAACCACACGGGTCTCTAGAAAAAAGATAGCGCCATCGTATTTCTCACAGTCAAAAACCGATGTGTCTAAGCTTTGAAGCAAAATATGGCCGATGAGAAGTACCACAAACTGATTTCATACCATTTCGCAAGTAAACAGGGTGAGCAGAATTAAGTATTAGAGTCTGAAACAGTTATTTTGACCCGGAATCACCAGTCTATCGTTTGTATGACTTCAGGTAGCTTTTTCCTGCTCGAATTTGAATAGGCCGCATCATTTCGACTAAGGAAAAAGCTGTTTTTTTTTCAGCACAACATTGAAATCGCTGTACTCTGCAGTGAATACTGTCCTATCCATCATAAATATCATATTCATGATCGACATACTCGAATTGCCATATCTAGTTATGTTAAGTATGAGTGTGAGAGAATAAAATACCAAGGCACACACCGACATCTACATTCTCGTCCGAGAGTCTTTTAAACATGAAATCAATTCCATGTTGAGACTAACTGTTGCTTTCCTAGCTTCAACAGGAAAAAACCAAAAAAGAAATTCTTTCTGTCTCATAGTTTTCATTCAAATAACAACTATCCTATCGAAATAGCAAAGAATTCAATTGGCAATTTTATTCGGAATGTCGATTCAAATTAAAACTGTTTAGCACATGACACGACCAAAATCCATAACTGCAACTAAACAGGTCTTAAAACATTGTAATACCGAATCGGTAACAACTTGTGTGAGTTTCTAAATGAAATTTGAATGTTAATTGAGCTAAAACTTTGCTTGTTGGCTATATCTACACAAAAAGCACTTTTTTCATTGTTTCATTTATTTTTTGGAATTCATAACAAATACTTCAATACTCAATTATAATCGAACTCCCATTAGGGAACATGTATTTACCTCAGCAACTATGAAGTGCAGTATCTATTGCTGAGAATAAAGCACAATTAAAGAAGTTGTTTTTAACTTGAACAACACATGAATAATGAGCAGTACACTGAATGAGCAGAAACTGTTGGTGGATTGTTGCTTCTATCAATGTTGAATTATTTTTCTTTTTGTGCAGCTCACATTAGCTGAAAGTCAGTCTTATGCATAATCAACAAATCAAACTGATGATGTCTTTACTTTTTTTTGTTCCTGATAGCAAGAGAAAAGAGTCTTTTCGAGATATTGAAAGATAAATAAGCACTGAATGAAATAAAATATTTCATCTATCGGCACTCAAATGAGTATTATGTAGACAATAAACAAATGAAAGTTGGAAAAATAAGCATAAAATAAATGATGTTATTGGTTTTTTTCCCTATTTTTAGTTGTTGCCAATTATGTTTTTCACTGCAACCAGGTGGAGTTTGCCCTTAAGTGCCAACGAAAAGAAAAACATATCCACATTTAATTTCGTAGGAAAATCTCGAAAAAAAAAAGTCAACGTCGGATGTATAAATCGAAAAAGTAATATTCATCTAAACAACAATCTATCATTCACAATACACAATTACCGATCGAACAGCAAATATGATATCGACAATGAGTCGACAACGAAGACGACACGTGACTGAAAATTACTTGGTCATCTGGGTCGATGACAATATTGATATGGCAAATAAAGATGACCAACATACACTTGCGCCATTGCGCAATGTCGTAAATCAAGTCAATCCGTGCACGACAGGTGAGCAACATGTTCAACAACTCAGTGAAAATCCTGAAGAGACATCATTTGTTATCTCCTCCGATGCACTTGGTCAGCATTTAGTGCCAAACATTCATAGCATGCCGAAATTGGATGTCATCTACACAATTTGTGACAACAAACAGCGACATCAAGTATGGGTCAAAAATTTGACAAAAATCCAAGGTATTCATACATTCATCTAACCAATATGCAAAGCAGTGCAACCAGCTGTCAAGCAATGCAATCAAAGACAGCATATCAGTGAGCATTATTAGTGTCAATAAAGGAGGTTCCAGCGAAAATCTCAATCAGTTTGAACCGACCTTCATGTATTCACAGATATTCAAGGAAATTATTCTTGAAATAAAATATAACGAACAAGCCATCAAAGACTTGATTACTTTTTGGCAACTAGAATACCATGACAATGTCCAAGGAATCAAAATTATTGATGAATTTCAATGCACTTATCGTCCATCAAAGGCCATCTGATGGTATACACGTCAATTCTTCACGTACGAAATGCTCAATCTAACATTAAGAACATTAGACAGTTACATGGCCATCAAAATGGGGTTCTACTTGTGTGATTTACATCGACAAATCGCACATTCACACAACAAACACGTTAGTCACGGTCAAGAGCAGGCTTTTCTAGTTTTTCGAGAACACGAACTATCGAAACGAGACTTCGAAAAACTTGCTAAAAAAGATGGACTTACTTCATTCAATAATTTTTTTCTACCATTAAAAATCGAGACGTCTTGCTGTACTTCGCAAAGAGTGTCTTTAGAGCAACCGATAAAGTCGGTATTCTTTTTCGAATGACCATCGGTCCTACGGTGTCATCGACTTCCTTTGCTTTCATTCGAGAGGAGAGTTATTACAAGGATGAAGAGAAAATCTTTTTCTCTATGCACACTGTTTTTCGAATTGCTGACATTCGACAAATTGCCTATAAAATCTCACTTTATGAAGTATATCTTCAACTTATATCAGATGACGACCTACAACTCTGACAATTAACCGATTATTTATGAAACGAAATCGACGGCACTGGATGGTATTGTACAAGTAAACTCCTGTGCCAAAATAGGTCAAATCAACAAGGCCGAAGAATTGTATAACGCACTACTACAATAGATATCCAAAGATAATATTAAAGCACATATCTATCACCAAATTGGACAGTTGAAATACAACCAATGACTATACACAGAAGCAGCTTCATTTTTCGACAAATCTCTCCACATCTGCCAAGAAACTCACCCACGAGATCATTCTCCGTTCGCTATTACCTACAGCAGCTTTGGTACAGTATATCAAACGATGCGTGACTACTTGAAAACGCTTGAATTTTATGAAAAAACACATAAAATCTACTCAAAAGCTCTGCCTTTGAATCATCCGGCATGGACAAACGATTACGTCAAAATCGGTCTACTGTACAGAAAAATAGCTGACTACTCGAAAGCACTTGAGTTTTACGAAAAAGCACATAAAAAAAATCTATCACCAAGTTCAGCCTCCAACCCATCCCGATTTGACTACTTCCTACATTAGCATCGGTGCAGTGTAATAACGACATGGATGACAACTTTAAAGCAATTAAATCTTTTGAAAACTCACATAAAATCTTCGAGGAAGCTCTGTCACTGAAACACCTTCATTTGGCTATTTCGTACTACTGGTTCGGAAAGGTTTATCGCGGTATGAAAAAATACTCAAAGGTACTTGACATTTTCGAAAATTCTCTGACAATATTTTAACAAGCACGACGTGAAAAACATCGCTATTAGGCTAGTATACATAGTAATATCGGTGCTGTTCATATATTAATGGGAGAATATGAAAAGACTTTTCATTTCATCGGAAAGCATTAAATATTCAAGAAAATATTCGATGTAGTTCTCTGGAATGTGCAATAACATTTACAAATTCAGATGAAACTTATCGAGAAATGAAAGACAACTCAACAGGATTGATATATTTTCAAAGTGTTAGAAATACGTGAAAAGAAACTGCCAAAAAAATCATTTTGATTTAGCTGTAATCTATCACAATTTAGCAAAATTATATATGGACACTCGACAATATAGTATAACAATGAAAACTGTACAACAAGCGGTAGACATTTCTCGAGAAAAATTACCTTCAAAGCATCCTTATGTTTTGAACTACAAAGAAATGTTTGAAAAAATGCGAGAAAAATTGTAATTTTTTTTCTCTTGATGGTACAATAAACTGATTGTGATTGCTATTCACTCCCCTTCTCGACTTTTCGCGGCTCATTATAGCGTACTCGTGCGTGAACAGGAAGGCTCTCTGTAAGCCTGAAATGGATACACCTGAAACGGACTATGCCGCACTGGTAGAGCAATGAGCATAGGTATGGCGCACATAATGACCTCAGGGACCTATGAACATAGCGGCCTTCCCAACTCCTAGACTACTTTTGCCGTAGCAAGCACAAGGAATCCTTCTGAGTTAAGTTACGAAGCCAGCTGACAGACTGAGATACAATATCGTATCTAACCTTACTACTACACAACAATATAGCTATTAAACAACAAAGATAATCTAACGTATAAAAAACTTTTTTTTTCTATTTTCATGCATTACGATTATTACATGCTTTTTTTTATAGATATGAAGTTGGTTTTTCAAGGTAATGTTGTTGTCGATTAATAGATAATAGTGAGTTAGAACTTGTTAGTATTTGTGAAGAATGACGTTTTAATGAAGGTAGAGTTGTACATTATTGATAGATCATTCTTCCATTTGAACAAATATTTTGGAATATGTGTAATTCAGATAGAGAAGATTTACTTGTTATTAATTGATGAAAACTACAAGATCAATGACATGGTATTGCGATTGTTTAGTTTTTGGATGTGAATGAATTAGATAATATACTTAGAGTATACCAAAAGTAATGCCAGTAGCACTATGCTACGTTATAGAAGACACGAGAAAGTTATAGATATACTAATAATCCAAACAATGCTCTGTAATTCCATCATATTTCAACATTCTTCATTTGTTATGATGATATTGGAATTTCGATCATAGCTGTTCACTTTCGATTTTGTTGCATAAGGAAAACTTTCGTTATATTATTCTTGATGGTCATGCTCTACCTCAGAACAGTTGAACAATGATATGATTGATTTCATGAAGATCGAGAAGAAGTTGAGGACAGACCACAATCGAGCGAGTTTGTTATCAAGCAACATCCAAAAAGTTCGAACTGATCCATTGACTTATTAATAATAACCCTCATATTAAAAATGAAGAATTGCAAGCACAAATTAATCTGAATCATGGAACCATTCCAACAAATAATCTTCGATCATCGTAAACCTGAAAAAGGTTACGACTAGTTATATACCATAACAACTGGTCTTGACGGTAATCATGAGTCAATTCTTATATTATCACACCAACTGAAGCATGGCAAAATATTATAAAATTATAGAGCACTGTTTGAACTATCAGTATATGCAGTAGACATCTAAATGATTCAACTAGTAGACAATTTTATATTCTTTTGTGTATATCTCAAAAACTAGATAAACTTAAATCGTCTGTTTTTTGTCAGATTATGGCCTCTAGTGTTCTACTAGAACACTAGAGGCCAATGACAGATAGACGTTCTTGTACTGTCTTACTCATGCATCGAAGAAGGTAAAAGTTATTTTAACAGCGTGGTTTTGTAGCGAATCTTTTTTTGTATAAAATACTTTTATTTAAAATCAAAGCAAATTATATCACTTAATTTATATACCTTTGTTACGCTATGAATAGCAGCAGTAAAAGAATTACGGTAGTTCTAGCAGCATCCAAAGTACAAACTTCACTAAATATATCACGAATTTGTAGGCTTCACGTCTTTGTGAATAGAGGATGAAATTCAGAACAAGGCGTTATGATAAGTTTTATTTGATACATTCTTGTTTGATGACATACATTTACTCTGTTACTAAGACTACAATAAACTTGTTTTATTGTACACGATAGCCTATCTGCGTCTTTTCTAACTCTTCGTCCTCGACATCATCACGACACAAAGTACACATTTTGTTATAGTAAAACAAACGTGCAAAATATGAAGACTGAATGTGTATGTGACAATCTACACACCTAGTTTGCTTAAGTGGCAATCATTTTCTCAATATAATAAATGAGAAAAAAAAGGAATAAAAAATTTTAATGTTCGAAACAATTCTATATTGTTTTTCTGTAATTATGAAATAAAATAATTCAAACTACTGTAAGTGAAATCAATAGATTGGTACACATACCGTCGAAGAATAACCCTATTCGAAAATATGTAAATTTCAAGGTTGATCTTCCAAAAAGATGAGAATTGACAGATGTAACGGATGGTGCAAAAGTTCTGCATTAATTTTTGTTTTCTTCAGTATAGCTTAACAACAAATCATCGTGAAGACTTGATAGTTTTCTTGCTAGAAAGAATATAGTCTCTATTGCAAAGCTGCGAAAAAATAATTCGTTCGAAATATTTATCGCAAGCTGAAAAGTAGCTTGCAACGTTACACAAAATCAGTGATGAGTAGTGCATTTGATCGATTTATCTTGTACTCGACTTTCGAAATTTTTAGACACGTTATGCATAAATACAATTAACACGACACGAACTTTCTAATGTTATCAAAATATTCCAATGACACAACTAAAGATTCTATAAGAAGCAATTTTATTGAAAACTTATAGACTCAATAACTATAATTGCATATAAAATAAGAGTTTTTACTAGAAATATTGTTGCATAGATTTGTAGTAGAGATTTAGCTCTTGCTAACAAGAAAATTAGCAAGTCTCCACGACCAGTTGTTGTTACACTGTACTGAAAAAACAACAAATTCGTGTAGTAAAACTGTAATATCATCATAAATAGTCAGATAACGTTCTGTTATTACTTTAAATAACAATATAGCAATATTATTACTGAAAATTCTAAATGATTGAAAATAATCAATGTAACATGATTTATTTGTATCTTGTCAATATATATATATAGAGGACGAAAGTATTACTATCTTTTTGCTCATAGAATTGTTACTAGCACTTCATCTGACTAGTTGATTGTTTTGATTATAGTAACTTGCCGATATAACGATCGAACGAAAGTAGATGAGTAGGAGGAAAAGAACGTCAAGGGTTACATAGGCACACATTTACTTTGATCCCTTTGTATGTGTGCCTTTCTTTTTTTCTCTTTCTCTTTATCGATCGGCAGGTTTCTTGTCAAAACAGTTCGGTCAACAAATCTATAGTTTTATACAAACGATTAGTTTCCGCCTTCACATTCGTTGTCGATCGATACAAGTGACTTTTTGACACGAACCAATTAGGAAAAAAGAAGACGACGGAGAGAAAAGAATAGTAAAAGATTATGATCATTGCATAGATTCAAAAAAGAGAAGGCATATTATGATGATCGAAATCATTTGAATAGTGTGTACCCTAAGACACCGCCAATGACCAAGGGCGGCAGTAGTAAACCTACGATGTTAGGTAAGTAAAAACAATAAAATAGAATTACAGAAATTTGATTGAATAAAATGTATATTCTACTATTCTATTTAATATAAAAGGACGTCTGATCTTTGGTGAAAAACGTAAACAACATGCATCACCATCACGCCATCGATCAGCCACACGAAATGGTGGCACTGTGGCTGATGTGTCATCGTCTAGTGGTGGCAACGCAAATAAAAATCTAATTAATTTACATGATTGGGCTGTTTGGCGAATGCATCTAAATGAACAGATGGGTAATGGAATGACCGAACGAACTGATCTCAAACATATGCGACAATTTCTTCATTCAAATCCATTTTATCAACAACATAGTCGAGATCCTTCTAGCGGTCGATATAATGGTGTTCAACTACTTTTTTCTATTCCTCATGCTAAACTTAAGCCTGAATTAATTGATGGATCACGAGGAGGACTTTACAAAAATACTAATATGGATATAGGAGATACAACAACATATGATCAAAATAATGTTCTATCAAACAGTGATGATCGTACAACAACTAGTGTTAATTCAGTTTCAGCTGGATCGCCAATGGTTATTGATAAAACTATCAATCAATTACTTCCGAAAGGTTTAATAGGAAATGCAGGTAATTTTATCCCCACTATTGAACCAATGAGTGCTGTCGATATTGCAAGAACTCGGTAAATTTGATAGATAAAATGATTTTTTTTTTTTGTATAACTATTTATTCTTATTTTATTTGTCTAGTCGTTCAATACGTACTCCTTACACAGCATCGGATCGAGTACATTCAACATTACAGAAAGCAGTCAAAGATGGTAATGTACTCGAAAAAATCAAAGCATTTGAAATGCAAGCAGCTGCAGCTCAAGCTGAATCAACAACAAAACTAGGTGGTTGTGGCGGCGGTAGTAGCGTTGGTATCAATCATCGAATGCAATCAATTGCATCATCAATTCAATCAGCTGCTGCATACCGTACACTGAGTCCAGCTATGATACATCCAATGCAACATCCAATATCACCTATACCCATACAACATGAACCACAACAACAGTACATTCGTTCTCATCGAAGTCGTCATATTTATCCAACACAACCACGTCATGATGGTAATCTTGGTAATATGATCGGTCGTCAATCTAGAAAAGGAGCACATGTATTGGAACCTGCTCTTGGAGATATTATTCTTAAACGGCGAACACCATCTCAAAAAACTATCAACGACGAAGACTATTCTGTTACAGCTATTAGTCCAATGGCACTTCCAGTTTCTCAAGGTCATAATCATCGTCAACATCATTATCATCATCGAACAAGCACATCTCGCTCTCGACATCGAAAAGAAACAGTTCATGAGAAACATACATCTCATAGTCATGAAAATGTTCATAAGAAATCTCAACAAAAACAAAAAGAAACAACAATATCAGCAACATCAACTAAAACAAGTACACGTCATCGTTGGCTCAAAGGACATAAAGATAAACCAAGTGAAACTGTAACTGAAAAGGTTAAACAAGATACATCAACAAACAAATCCAACAAAAAGAATAAAACAAAAAAGAAAAATACTGAACAAGAAAAAGTTGATTCGAAAAATCAAATGAAATCTTCTATTTCTAAAGGAAAAATATTATCAGATAATAATCGTGTTTATGGTGTACCAAATACAACTGTAAATGAACAAACAAAATTTGAAACAATTTCACCACAACCACCATCAAGAATTGATGAAGAAAATGAATCCGATCGAGAAGAAGAAAATATTGAAAATCAACATAGTCATATATCAACAAAACAAGAAGGAAATCTTGTTCAACCGAAACAATGTGATACAACTGTTGAAATCAATGGTGAACGGTCACCAAATAAAACACAATATCAACAAAAATTATCATGTAACGATGGAGAAATTTTAAGTAAAATTGAAGATGATACTCGGTTTGTATATAAAAATTGTTTTTGCTTTCGAAAATTTTTATTTTATTTGAAGATTTTCTCGTCCTACTGATGATCATGCTCACCGTTCTGAACTTATTGATGAAGATGATGAATGTAAAAGTGAAGGAGATGTTTTTATCGAAGAGTCATCTTTAACAAATATGAATTCTCCTCAACAACAGCAACAACAATTATCAACTAATGCTATTCGACGTCATTCAAGTCAACGTTCAGTTGAAAAGACTCCATCCGATCGACGTTGGCAATGGTCAAAAGAAAGTGGTGGACTAATTGATAAAGGCAATCGAAAGAAAAAACAACAACAACAATCAACTACAAATCTTTCTTCTAAAGATAAAATCATTCCAGATGAAGAACAAGTTGTTTATGAAACACCACAATCCGAACAAATTCAAACATTAAACAAAAAACAATCCTTGCCTACAACAACAACAACTGAAAATAGTGATGAACAGAATAATAATAATAAACAAATTAGTAAACAAATTCTTCATGCTATTCTAAATTCAATGACTAATAATCAAGAACAAACAACAATGGATGAATTTTTTGAAAATGGACCTTATACAAATCCTGAAGAGACTTTAACGAATATAACTAGTACAGCTTAAAACAAAAAACAAATACCAAGACTTTAGAATATAAAATTTTAAAAATATTATTTATTAGAGTTTTACGTGAAATAAAATGTGTAAAAGAAAAAAAAATGTAATTAGTCACACATTTAATGTTCAATTTGTACGAGAGCTGGAAATGTTTTCATACGTAAACGTTCAACTTCAGCACGTAAATAAGCAACTTCTTGTGCTTGTGCTTTAGCTAAATCTACAAGACGACGACGACGTACGACTTGACGAATACGATCTTGTTGATCTGCTTTTGATTGTTCAATAACTAAAATTAGACAGAAAAAACAAAAATAACGATTTTCATCTTTATTTTCTTTTTCTTATAATTAGTCATTAACTTACTTCGTTGATCAATAATATTTTTTCTTTCGTATAAATTAACGTTTGCATTTTGTAGCGCTTCGTCAACAGCTAATGTTACATTAGCAATAGATAAATTGTCATATTGTAATTTATGAATTTCATTTTCTTTTATCATTTTTTGATCGTCGAAACGCTATGAAAATAAATTCATTTCGATAGATATTTTTCCATGAGCCTTATTTTACAGTTTGCAAGTAGACCACGAACATGTATATAAAAAAGTGGTCATACTAGCTTCTTTGTTGCTCAGGGCGATCCCTTTGTGCACATATGCTACCAAGATGATTGCGAAAGAGAGATGAAAGAAAAAAGGGTTCGCTCTTCGCAACAAATAAGCTAGTATAGGCACTTTTTTTTAATACATGTTTGTGGCCAATAAGTAAATCATGAATAAGGCTCATTGAAAGAAAAAACTGAACAAACTTGTTTCATTTTTTCAATTGTTGCTTCTAACATTTGTAATTCACGTTGTTTTTGCGATTCAAATACTGTATCATTAGAACATGCTAAATATTCTTGAACATTTCTTGTTACTTTAAGGAATGTTATATCTTGTGCACGTTGTTTTAAATCAGTTATTTCATATGTTAGTTTTTCTTTTTCCCTATTTCAAAATGAAAGATATTGATAAATAATTATTTTACTTTAATTTTCTTTTGTTTTTTAATTACCATTTCATTGATTGTAATTCATTAACAACACCTTTCGTTTTGTCCATTTGACGAATTTTTAAATTTCCTGATGCCTAATGAAAGTTAAATGATTGAAAAAAAATTAAATACAAAAAAAGAATAATTAAACAATATACAATAATTGATTTATTTAAATCTTCAACTTCGTGTCGATTAATAAGTTCAACATCAGTATTTCGATATTGCTCTGGTGGAAGATCAGCTGGTTGCGATTCGGTTTCAACTTGACCTTGTTTAAGAACAATTTGTACATATAAATCAAAAGTATCATCAATACGAGCATCTTTTGTTCTATAAAAATATAATCATTATAATAATAATGCCAGCGAAAAAAACAAATGAGAAAACATACGTAATAAGAAGATTTTGTATTTGTTCAAATTCAACTGTCTTTTTTGTTAATTCACCTTCACGAAGATTTTTTAAATTTTTTATCATTATTTCTTCTTGTTCTTGTTGTCGTAACTAAAATTAGGAATGAATGAAAAACGTTAAATAACATTTTAATAAAAATATTTGTTAAAAAATTTACATTTATACCAAAAAAATTTCCTTAGTATTCGAAATGCGTCAAATTTCTGGGATCCAATCTGAGTCAAACCAGCGAGATATCTCAAAAGTTACATTCCAGCAGTAAAGAGTCACTACACTGAAGCAAACTTCGACAAGTCTATGTCCTTGCTGCATGTTAACTGAACTATTGAATTTATGCCTGTGAGACTCAAGAAACAAAAAAAACGGATTTTTGTTGACTTAAATCGGAAACAATCTGAAAATAATCAAACCAATCAACAAAAGTTCCATTAAATATATTGGAATTCTTAAACCCATAGAAGTCTGACTTTTTTTCACTTTTCAATAGCATCGCATGTTTTCAATAAGGTTTTATTATCGTATTCTGACCTGAAACTTATTTCAAAGCTCTTACTTAGACTAACTTGTGTAGAAAATTGCATGATCATTAGATGTAATTTCTTCCAAATATAAAATTTTCAACATTGCTTGCAAATTTCTCCCATACAAATAAAAATTTAAATCTTTCCTCTATTATGATAAAAATCGCATGAAATCTTCAGAATATATCGGGGCTGTAGTAGAGGGACTATGATAATATTTTTGGTCATATATCATGACATGTTCAGGAAATATTCAACAAACAAGGGTCCAAAGTAGCCCATTCAGCAGTCAAAAATTCTCTATTGACCTTCATTCTATATACTTAGTTATTTTTGTTTCAAACGATCACAAAAGCATAAACAGAGAAAAAACGAACAAGATTTCTTGATTTTTCTGAAAACAGAACATTTTCACAAAAAAAGGTGCCAAATAAAAAAAAGACGTTATTTACGATGGATTAGGCTTCGAATTATCTTCCATGCTTTATTTTAATTTTGATAATTCTGACGAAAATTAACTTTTACTGAAGGAGAACTCTTCAAGCACGGTAGTGATACTCAAATTCTTTTTTGGTAGATGAATTTTCATACATCCTATATGTAATCGTAATTAATAATCTTTTTTTGTAGCGGTGGTTGGGATCAAACGAAGCGAACTATACAACAAAAATGACTAATAACAGTATAGTGATTTATACTTTATTGAATGTTGCCATCACATCTAACCTATCTTCATCTTTTGTAAATTATTGTAAAACTGATCCATTTTTATTTATTTATTGCAAGTTAGAAGGATATTATAAATTGAGGCTAAAAACTCTTTCTTATTGAAGTAAAAAGCATCGTTTTTACATAAATATAGCATTGAGTGATATTTATATATTTCGACTTACTTCTCGTTCAAGTTCAGCACGTCTCTTTCGGAAATCAATAAAACGTTCCCAAACATTTCGAACAATATTTGGTGGTGCATTTGTAAATGAATCAGCTTCTGATTGCATTTTATCAAATTCAAGTTCAAGTAAACGAATTTGTCGACTTGAATATGGATTAAATTCATCTACTGTTTTCGATTGTTTTAACCTATATTGAAAAGAAAGATTTAAAAGAAAAAAAGAATAAAAAAAAAACTTTGTTTTTAATTACTTTGGTCGTTTAATTAATAAACGTTTAAGAGAATCTTGTAATGCTGATGGAACATCGGCAAATTCTCGAGGAAATTGTTTATCAAATGTATCATCAGCTTTTAATCGTCGTTTTTCATTATCAACATTATTAATACTATCTTCTAAAGCACGTTTTGAAAGTTCAAGTTCATGAACTTTATCTTCAAGTATTATCGAACGATTTTCATATGTTTCTTCTAATTGTTCAATAAGTCGATCTTTAACTAAAGCAAATATTAAACGACTAATTTTTAATTCTTCCTATAATAAATAAAATAAATATGTTATTTTTAATTTGTTTTTATTTTTCATTCAATTAAAAATAAATCTACTTGAATAGCTGCTGTCTGAGCTAAAATTCGTCGCCGATGTAATTGAATTAAAACTTGTTCAAATGCTTCACAATTTTCTTGAATTTGTTCATTAATTTTACTTGCTTCTGCAGTTAGAACCTTTTTTTTTGGAAAAAGACAATTATTCGTTATAAATACAAATATGCATAATAAAGAAGAAACAAACTTTTCGTAATTTATCTCTTTCTTCTTGTTGTTCTTTAACTTTTTGTAAATATTGTTGATAAGTTAGTTTTTCAAGTTCTGTCCATTCATCTTCAGGTTTCTCAAGTGCAAATGCTGGTTTAGGAATTTCCTATAAAGAAGATAGAAATGATTTTTTTTTCATTGAATTTAGATAAGAGAAAAAATAATGAGAACCTTTTTTAATTCATCTTCTCGACGAACTTGTAAAACACCACCCATCATATCGTTAAGACCACGTTCACGCCAATTATCCAGTTTTTCCATTTCACGTCGACGTTCTTCATTAAGTCGTTGTTCTTCTAATTGTTTTAATTGTTCTGGTGTATAATATCTTTCAACTTTAACCTTGAAATAAATAAACAAAAAATATGTCTCATTGTTTAGTCTGTATTTATCACAGTAGCGATACAAAGGTTAAATTTAGATAGACGAATACGAAGATAAATAAAGCATTCGTACAATCATAGCAACAATTAGTGGTGTAACCAGACAAGATGACTCAATCTTCTCTACAAGGTTCCAAGCTACCGCACCTATGAACGAGCTCCATTCAGAAATGTGACAAGTGGAACCTCTGCACTTCTAAACATATGACTGAGAGCCAGCTGAGCTCTCTCTGTGGGTTTTGGGCAGCAGCGCGCGGACACTTCCACCCTAGAACTTATGGTGATCGGACAGATGATGAGCAATAATATTAAATCAAAAATAAACCAATCATTGGAGTATCGTTCTAACTGATAAATTGATTTCTCTATTTGCGATATGAGAGTGGTTGTAGATAAAAAGAAGACACATTTACCTACATCCTGACTCACACACACTCTCTATGTTCAAACATCATTGACACTATATAGGGCAAGCAACCATCAAAGGAAGAAAACAAGTCTTTTAACAAACAACGAAGAAAATTTGATTGGAAATCCACATATAGATGCTAACAATCCGTTAAAGTATATCGAACGTTTACTGTCCCTATATATTTTCTTTCTGCTTCTATTTATAACTTCTTGTTTAATATTGCTGTTTCTCATAATAGAACATTCAATAGAGGAGCCACACATGCTTTTCATTTCGTGTGTTAATATAGAACATGTTCGACCAGACACACATTAATAGAATGAAAAAACAAATGATAAATATGAAAATTGATGTATACACAATATGTGCTAAATTCTTCTATATGTGATACTTCAAGTTTAAATACACACCTCATTATCTTTGACTTCAAATAATAATAATGGTTTTTCTTTTTCTGTTAAATCTGGCTCCCAAACAGGACTTGTATCATCTAAATCTGCATTGATTTGTTTAATACGTGTATTTTTT